ACGCAACTGTAAGAGAAGACTGAGGAGGCGACGGGAGGAGGGGAGGACGAGACGCGTGGGAACGGAGCAACATAGGGTGAGAGCGCAGGGCGGGGGAGACAGGACGAGCGCGGGAGGGACGGCGAGACCAGACGTGAGAGGGAGGCGTCGGGTCAGGAGACAGAGGAGGGGACACGGGTGTGGAACGAGGGGGAAAACGAGCCGGGGACGAGTCCGGCGGAGGGAATACAGGGCCGGAGACGGGAAGAGGAGGAGACGGCAGGAGAGGAACAGACGCAGGGTCAGGGGACGAAAGGCCGAGCAGACGAAGGGCGGACACCGGCGGGGACTGCTGCTGCTGCGACACAACACCAACACCAGAGCCGCAAGCTGCGCGACGGCTACCTCCCGAACTCTCCACGCCGGCACCCCCAGAAGGGACACCCCCAGAGCCCGAAACCCCGCCAGCGCTGGTACCACCCCCAGTCCCGCCGGGACAAGCCACGACAGGAGCCCCGGGACGAGTACCCACCTCAACTCCAGCAACCCCAGAGTCCACGAACGGCGGCAGCGACGACAGCAGCGGCGGCGGCTGCAACGACTGCTGCGACGGCGGCAGTGGCGGAGACGACAGCTGCAGCAGCTGTGGCGACGGCGGCTGCGGAGGCGGTGGAGATGGAGACAGCGGGGGAGGGGCAGGCGGCGAGGACCGCGCCGGGGGACTACCAGAGTCAGAAGACTCCTCAACCGGGACGACCGACGGGAGGGGGGTGACGTGAGACGCACCAGAGGGGGCCGGACGGGGGGGAGGGGGGGGGGAGGGGCAGGGACCACCAGGGAGGGAGGAACCAGGAACAAGGGGGGAGTCACCGGGGGACCGCGGTGGGGGAAGCGACGATAGAAGGAGACGGACTCGTCAAAGGTGACGTCGCGAGAGTGAAAGAAGCGGTGAGACGGCGGGTGGTAAAAGTGCCAGTCGGACGCGTCAAGGGGGAAACCGAGGAAGACACAGGGGAGGGTGCGAGCAGTGAGCTTGTCCGTGCCAGAGGCACGAACGTGAGCAAGGCAGCCCCAGACGTGGAATGCAGACGCGTCACCAGGGGACCCGGTCCACAGAAGGGTCGGCGAAACCTGCGGCCGCTGGGGGTGCGGCCACAGGTTAAGCTGGTGAGCAGCGTAGCGCACGGCGAACGGCCACAGAAAATGGGGTGCACCGGCGTGGATCATGGAGGTGCGAGCCACCTCCATGACCAAACCGATGCGTCGCTCAGCGACCCCATTCTGCTGCGGGGAGTCCGGAAGGGTAAACGTCTGGGTGATGCCCTCCGCATGACAGAAGACACCGGAGGCAAACTCGCCACCACGGTCGGAGTGAAGACGCAAGACAGGGAGACCGTGGTGGACACGAGCAGAGACAAGCCAGGGGATGAAAACGTCAGGCATGTCGGCCTTCCGCTCCAGGGGAAAGACGGTGGTGTAGCGCGTGAAGTCATCGACAAGCACGAGGAAGAAGCGCTCGCGACGCGGCCGATGGACGGGGGCGGGGCCCCAGACGTCCATGTGCAGAGTCTGCAGCGGTGCGGCGGTAGGGGGAAAAGAGGAGGAGTGAGGGGCACGGCGAAGCCGGCCCTTGACGCAAGGCGTGCACGGTGGGGCGGGGAAGGAGGGAAACTCTGGGAACGAACTGAGGAGACCAAGGACGAGACCGTGCTGGGACATGTGACGCAGACGCGGGAGCGCAGGGTGACCAAGGCGGTGCTGCCAAAGGAGTGTCGGGTGAGTGAGGGACCGACAGGAGCAGGCAGCAGCAACCTGGGTAGACGCAGCCACCTGGGGGGACGTCCCAGCCGAGGAAGTCACGGTGTCAAGTGTGAACAGGCCTGACACCGGGTCCCGGGGGAACGTGGTAAGGGGGGCACCGGTGGCGGCCTCGGTACAGACAGCATACCGCTCGTGACCACGGAACGTAGTGGTGACGCCAAGGTCCTGGAGGCAGCCGACACCAACTAGGTTCCTGGAGAACGAGGGGATATGCAGACCTGTAAGCGAACCCGAAGGAACCGCCGGACAGGGAAGGGAGGTGGAACTGCGGGCGACTACCGGACCACTGGAGGGGTCAGCAAGAGGAACTGCAGCAGGAACAGGAAGTGGCGTCAGCGTAGTGGAGTCGCGGAAGAAACACCGGGAAGCGCCAGAGTCCAAGGTGAAGGAAAGCGCAGCAGTGGCGCCTGGCGGCGGAGAAGCGGTGGAAGCACCGAGGCCAAACAAAGCAGGAGATCCTACGCCTGACGCAGTAGGGGAGTCTAAGCTAGGCACACCTACACTAGGCAACACGGGGTAATAAGAAGAAAGCACACTAGAGTCATCAGCATACATCACATGCAGGGCGGCTACAATGGCATCCATGACCAAGTCATAAATCTGAATACCACGCCTAAGCAAACTGTGCCAGTCCGGGAGGTCGGGCGACGAGCCGAAGCGCTGACGGAACAGGTCGTCCAGGCAACGAAAACAGCGAGGAGTGGAATGACCGATCTTACCGCAAACGAAGCCGCGGCGCGGACCGGTTTGGATCTGGTATTGACAGCGCACGCCTCCGGAACCACCACCCGGCACACCACCGCGCGCACGGCCACTACCAGCTCCAGGCCACCCGGGAGGGAGGGCACTCGCCGGCCTCGTCTGTGGCGGCTGCTGCGGAGGCTGCGGCTGCGGCGACTGCTGCTGCTGCTGCGACTGCGGAGGCAGCTGGTCAGCTGGACTGGGCAGCGTCCCCTCATCCGCTCCAGCACCAGACGACCCGACTCCACCACCACCCCCTCCTGCACCCCCGCCTCCTCCGCCGCGCCCAGCCTTGGGGCGGCAACCCTTCCCCAAGCGAAACTGCGCTGCAGCAGCAGTCTCAGCCACAGCGACAGAGCCGTCGGAGAAGGTACACTGAGCGAGGGCACAACCCTGAAAGATAGGGACCGGTACTGTACCGCTCGCCTGGGCGATGGAGCGGTGGCGAGTCTCGATAACAGTCAGGGTGTCTACGAAGTCGGTGAGGGTGAGCTCAGCGGGGTGAATGCTAAGGAACTGGTCGCGGGCGGCGGCAAGGCGGTCAGGGAGGCGGGTGGCAAGCAGGTAGAGGGTAGAGGTCATGGGCGGCTGGTGGGCTCTAAGCTGTGCCTCAGTGCAGGCGGCGCGCCAGGTCTCATCTATCGAGCGCAGGTGGGCAGCTAGGTCAGAGACAGTGGGGAAAGACGCAAGGCCAGGAAAGAGCATCGGGAGGATCAGGCGACCCACGGAGGCCGCAGGGGGGGCAGAATAGCGCTTGATTACAGCATCTAAGTTGGCCTGGGCAATAGTGATTGACCTAAAGCGAGGGCGCTCAGGCGGGGGAAGGGCATTGCTAATGGCGAGCTGAGCAACAGCGTCTCGGGAAAGCCAGACAGAGCGTGCAAGGGCAGCGGCGGCAGTGGACTCGCGCTCAGCGGGTGTGGGGTCAGCGAGCAGCACAGCAGGGGGGTCTGGGCAGGGGAGCGTACCGTCAAGGTGTGCGGAAAGCGGGTGGCCATCCTGCCGCTGACCAGTGAGGTGGCGGCGGAGGTCGGCAAGCCACGCCTCGAACTCCAGTGGCTGACCTTCAGCATCGAAGCGAAGCTCCGCCGCCATCAGGAGCAGTGAAGGACTATACAGGGCAGTGCAGAACAGTGCAGTGCGGTGCAGTGCTGTGCAGTGCGGTCCAGTGCGGTGCAGTGCGGTCCAGTGCGATGCAGCGCGGTCCAGTGCAGTGCAGTGCGATCCAGTGCGGTGCAGGGAAGTGCAGTGCGGTGCAAAGCGGTGCAGGGAATGGGGGACAGTACCAGGGAGGATGTAGGGCCGGGGCTGTGACGACGAGCGAGCCGCACACCGCCCGGGGCAGGACAGGCGCGGGGCCGGCTGAGACGGGCGCCAGGCGGGCACGGCGGGGCCGGGCAGGGCGCGACGGGGCCGGGCAGGGCGCGACGGGGCCGGGCAGGGCGCGACAGGGCCAGGCGGTCGCGATAGGGCCGGGCAGGCGCGACGAGGGCCGGGCAGGCACGACGGGGCCGGGCAGGCGCGACGAGGGCCGGGCGAGGAGGTGCGACAGGGCCCAGGAAGGGGCGTCTGGGCTAAGAGGCGCGCTAGGGGCCCAGGAGGGCGCGACTGGGCTAGGGGGCGCGCTAGGGGCCCAGGAGGGGCGCAGCAGGACGAGGGGACGAGCTAGGGCCCAGGAGGGGCGCGACTGGGCTAGGAGGCGCGCTAGGGGCATAGGAGGGCGCGACTGGGCTAGGGGGCGCGCTAGGGGCCCAGGAGGGGCGCGGCAGGACGAGGGGACGCGCTAGGGCCCAGGAGGGGCGCGACTGGGCTAGGAGGCGCGCTAGGGGCGCGACTGGGGTAGGAGGCGCGCTAGGGCCCAGGAGGGGCGCGACGGAGCCCAGGAGGGGCGCGACTGGGCGAAGAGGCGCGACGGGGCCCAGGAGGGGCGCGGCTGGGCTAGGAGACGCGACGGGGCCCAGGAGGGGCGCGGCTGGGCTAGGAGGCGCGACGGGGCCCACGAGGGGCGCGTCTGGGCTAAGAGGCACGATAGGGCCCAGGGGGGGGGGCGCGACTGGGCTACGAGGCACGATAGGGCCCAGGGGGGCGCGACTGGGCTACGAGGCACGAAAGGCCCAGGAGGGGCGCGACGGGGCCTAGCGAGGGTAGGAGCGGAAGCAAGAGGTGGGGGTTCGAAACCTACGCGTGATACCATAACAAAGTAGATGAATAGAATAATTGAGAAAGGAGAGAGAACATGTGAATATACCTAAGAGTTGTACCCTATAAGACATGGCTCTATACAGTCTAAGCAAACATAGTAGATACACATGTTTGACAATAACGTGTAACATTTAGGCAAAAGAGAACCCCCTTATGGGTGGAGTACAAGTTTTTCTACACCGCACTACCAGGTCTGATACATACCTAGCTCATGTTGAGGGATGCGTGTTGTTGGGCATCTATAATGAGAGCAAGGTTCTTATCACTGTATGAATGCTTCTCTGATTCAGCATGCTTGCTGACAAAACATGAGCTCATTTGAACACCACAGTTAAACACAAGAGTGTATTTCATTGGATGTTAATGCAATTTGGTTTGCTCAGCTACTTTCTCCACCTTCGCTCCAGAGGAAAGCTCGTAGTATTCTACAGCGCCAGCAGCCAGCAATGCCGCCAATGTTAATGCTTGAGCATGAAGCCTGTGGAGCAAAAGTAGAGAAGGAAATATGCAGTATAATCGGCTCAAGTGCAATGATAACGTAGTATAAAGGCTGTGCAAATCCAGGAACTACAATGAACAACGAATACACGGATCAATGGCGGAGAACCGAAGAGAGGGAAAGCTAGTTAGTAAGTCACCCTGATAGTGAGACGCGAGTAACTCCAAAGGGGCTGGTCATAAGAGAGGAATCGCATAGCCGTCAGTGAACTAACAATTCGCCTAGAGCTCACCGAGAATGGATGATCTTACCGAGCATGAATGATCTTGACGCTCATCTTCTCCCCTGGCTTTCGGAAGTTATACAGAATGGATCCACCCACCGCTGACGCCCATAGAGAACCTGATATACGGACACAAAAAGCCCAATGAATGATAAGGGGTTGTCACAGTCTTGTTAAGAATGTGTTCAGTCTTGTTAAGAATGTGTTCAGTCTTGTTAAGAATGTGTTCAGTCTTGTTAAGAATGTGTTCAGTCTTGTTATACCGCTGACGGCCAACCTGGCACAGCACCTGATAGACCGGCAAAAGCAGCGTTCATGGCACAACAGAGGGCCAAAACTTGGTGGTATCTCAGGTCACTTTTCCTTAAGACCTACTGCTTGTGTTCCTTGAAAAACATCGCAACCTATACAGACAAGGGCGCGCGGCACGCTCGCGACGAAAATGGAGAGGGTGCCTTGATCAAGAACACCCCGCGCCGACATGTTTGAGATAATAACGAAGCAGAAATGCTTGCGCTCACCAACGGCCTTGATCTTGTTCTCTACGACCCACTTCCGGAATCCCGCTGCGGTGTAGAAATCTGAGCTCGGCGCGCTTGCAGATCCACTAGCAGAGTCGGCCATCGGTTCTGCTTTTGTCTCGGTGTGTTGCGATGCGATCAGTCAAGCAGCTGTTTCGCACTTACGAAGGCACAACACAGGCTAACAAACGCACGTTGTCGATGAAATGCGCTTAGCAAGAGTTTCACTGCGCGATCTGCACGCGAAGCTCGCACAACAGTCCGCAGAAACAGCGCAGACGAGCTAGGCGACCGAAACTAGAAGCAGATGAAGGAACGTGCAAGGGAAGCGAGGAGAAATGCAGGAACACTGACCGAAGAAACGATGCTTCTGAAGCAGTTTCCGTAACCTCCAGGCAGCCCCGCCGCGCGCCAGCGCTGCAGGCTGGCTGGCAGGCAATGGCGTATGGAAACACAGAAACAATATCCTCCGTACTGCAGAATTCGCTACGGAGCACCATGTTACCAGGTCCAAAATTCTTAGGATAGCAAACCAAATAGGCTAACTTAAGTCTAACACATCAGTACATTTTGAGCAAGCATTCACCGCCTCTTGACATGGCATACAAATTTCATCCCAGGATGAGCCTTCAGAGTATCCTCCAATGCTACAGGAGCCGAGAACCCGTCGTCAAACAATGCACTGTACAAATCCTTCAAGAATAACCCCAGCCTTTCTTCCTCCACCTTAGCGCTCGCCTGCTCCTTCTCCACTGCCAAACCAAAAACTCGATCCTCTCGGCCAATCCAAGCCTCCACATCATCCAACCAGGCCTCCTTCCTCCCCACCCTACCTGAATTCCCACCCACAGCAGTCGCCGTTGCTGCTGATAAATCCGGAACCATGAGCCCATACTGAGCCGAGTCGACACGAGGAAACATGCCACTTACAACACCAGCAGCAGCCGCGATTAATGCAGAGCGATCAGGGATTAGGAAGGAGGCGGCAGGAGGAGGGGCGATGACAGCCTTGGCTCCAGCCTCGAGGAAGGCGTCAACAAGGGCAGTGGGGGGTCCCTGCTGGCCGGAGCAGACAATTATGCGATCCCTCCAGGTGGACGCCTGAGTGGTCATGCAGAGGGAGAAAGACAAACATAGAGGGAGGACATTGAAGAGCAGCCACCAGGGCGGGGAGTGATAACAGCTTTGGCTTTGGCCTTGAGGAAGACATGAATGAGGGCAGCGGGAGGACCCTGTTGGCCCGAGCTGGCAATGAGGCGATCCCTCCACGTTGACCCATAGGCGACCCGACCACCCTAAGAACCAACCACCCTACATCACTGCCCGACCCCAGCCAGCAGCCAAGCCCAGCTCACCATCCAGCCCCATCCAGCCGGCAAGCCCAGCTCACCATCCAACCCCATCCAGCAGGCAAGCCCAGCTCACCATCCAGCGAATGTCGGCTTCTGTGAGGTGGACGGCGGGCGACGTGCAGCTGAAGAGGTACGTGCTCACCTCCATGCCGCCCGGGAGGATCTGCGGTGGGGAAGACATAGGGAGGGGAGGGGCAAACGGCCAGTTCAACGAGGCAAAAAACTAAGCTGGTGCTGGCCTTGAACAGCCGATGTGCAGCTGCAGAGGTACATGCTCACCTCCATGCCGCCCGGGAGGATCGGCGGGGGAATCACCGAAGGGGACAACAGTGAGGGCCGGAAAACAGACCCCAGGTTGTCATGCAATGCAACCCATGCAGCTGACGAGATGTGTGCAATGGGTTGCAATGCTCGATGCCGCCCGGCATATCTGAGGAAGGAAGGAAATGAGGGGGTCAGAGAGGAGGGAACCCACCTGCGTGTGGCAGCCCATGAAGCGGTGCAATACACCATCCACCACAAAGCTGCCCGCCACATGCACCAACTCCCACAGACTCGTTGGTGGCTTCTCCATTCCTCCTCCCCTCCCTCCCCTTCCGCCTCCTCCCCCTACTCCTCCTCCTCCTCCACCCAACGCACCAGCACCTCTCATACCACCAGCGGCACCACTAGCGGCAGCAGCAGAACCACCAGCAGGAATAGCATTAGCGGCAGCAGCAGCAGCAGAGCTGGGTGTTCCACTTATACCCCGCCCGCTGCCACCGCTACCCGAAGCACTGACCCCTACCGGGCCTGCGCGTCCACCTGCCGAACCTGCGGCCGAACCTGCAGCATTCAACGAGCCAAGGCTTGGAGAACTGGCTCCCTGGTGACTAGCAGCAAGCCCAACCAAATCAGCTGCCGAAGCTGACGCCGAACCAGGTGCCGAAGCAAAGCCACCCGAGCCAGCAACCGGAGTCCTAGCAGCAGCACCACCACCAACAGCAGCAACACCAGCAGGGGCAGAGCCAGAAGCACCAGAAGCAGCAGCAGAGGGGGTGGAAGAGATGGCGAGGGCAGCAGCGTGGTGGAGAGCCGGGTTCCACCAACCAATGCTGTTAATGGCACGAGCGAGCAGGTGAGAGGCGGAGTCACTGGGCTCTGCCACTGACATGACCTCAGAGGACCAGCTGGTGGGGAGGGCAACATACCATAGGCACGAGGAAAAGGGGGAGGACAGCAAAATAAGCGCCGTTGTACTGTCACTGGGCTCAGAGTAAGGTGAGAGGTGGCGTTACTGGGCTCCGCCACTGACATGACTCAGAGGACCAGCTGGTGGGGAGGGCAAAACAGGGTGAGGGGGTTGGGTGGGGTGAGGGTGGCGGGGGGGAGCAGAGTGGGAAAGAGAGGGGCTATGAGCAGTCGTGAAGTAGCCCTCACATGGGCTGAACAACAGCCACACTCATGTGCACCAGTCCCACGCCTGCTGCCTGCTGCACGTGCTGAATGAGCGCCACAGCTGGGGCGGGCAGTGACAGGGCTGCTGCCCTCCTTGATCGCCCCACTGCCCTCCTTGATCGCCCCACTGCCCTCCTTGATCGCCCCACTGCCCTCCTTGAGCGCCCCACTGCCCTCCTTGATCGCCCCACTGCCTCTTGAGTCTCTGTGGTTTGACAGTTGACTCAACCAGTGTCCTTTTGCAGTTTTGATATACCCAACGGGACAAGTGCAAAGCTAGGGACGAGGTGGAGCGAAATACTCATGTGAGGATGAACCCAGCCTGGTCGCAGGGCAGGGCTAGATGCACGAGCCCCACGCCAGCCACCTGCTGCAGGCGCTGCATGAGCGCCAAAGCCCCTCGGAACTAGCCCCCAGAAGGGGACAAAAGGAACAATGGTACTCACGTGAGGATGAAACCAGATTGATCACAGGGCAGGGCTAGATGCACGAGCCCCACGCCAGCCGCCTGCTGCAGGCGCTGCATGAGCGCCACAGCCGGGGCGGACAGCGACAGCGCTGCTGCCCTCTTCGACCCCCCTGCCGTCCACACCGGCTTCAGCCGCGCCCCCACACTTGGCAGCGATGCTGCTGCTGCTGCTGGCGCTGCTGCTGCTGCTGCCGCTACTGCCGCTGGCACTGCTGCTAGTGCTGCTGATGCGAGTCTGCTGCTTTGGCCTTGAGGCCCCTCCTCCGCCCCGTCCGAATCCTCCCCCTCCGCTATCCAAGGCCGGAAACTCGCCTCCACCCCCAGCGGCGTATCCTCCATGCTTGCTGCTCTGGTGGAAGGTCCAGGAGCAGCAGTAGAAGTAGCAGTGGTACTAGCAGTCACAGGGCGCGCAGCCGCACCTATAGCCCCATTGAGATCAAGGTTTGAAGGCACTCGGAAGACCGGAGAATCACTAGTCCCTCCTCCATTTCTGTCGGGCGTTTTTCTTCCTACACCGCCCGAGCCTGTTGCCAGACCTGCTGCCAAGGCTGTGCTGCTACCGGACCTCTTCATCACAGCTGCACCAGCAACCGCACCTGCTGCTGGCGGTACTATCATTGCTGTTGCGGGCACAACACGGGGACTCCCACCACTGGCAGCTGCTGCTGCCGCCGCTGTAGCAGCCATTGCCGAAGCTGACCCGGAGGCTCGGGGGCTCCCAGGCACGCTGGAGGGTCGGGAGCTGAAGGGGGATTGCAGGGAGGTGGAGAAGTAGAGGCCAGCAGAGGCAGCAGCAGCGCCACCGGAGGGAGGGTCACAGGGCACACAGATATGCTCCTCTACCTTGGGGGGCCGGCGCAGGTGGGATAAGAGGCTGCCGTTGCTGCCGCCTTCTGTGCTGATGCTGGTAATGACTCTGGCTAGCCTCGCTGCTGCTGCTGCTGCTGCCTGGGCAGAAGTACCGGAGCTGCCATAGCCAGCGGCACCACTGCAGCTTAGGCTGTAACCAGTGTTGCTGGTAACCCCACCAGTACCCGCAGTGCAGCAGAGCCGAGCCGAGTGCTGCCAGGGCCGGCGGGAAACGGACGGCCGGATGGAGTCCACGAGCAGCACGTGCCGACGGTACGGATTGATCGCATGGAGCGAGCTGCCACTGCCACCCCGCCTCTGCTCACACTGCGCCCCCATCACCTTGGTGAGCGGCGAGGGCGGGGCAGAGGTCTTGGGCGTTCCAGGAGACTTCGGGAGCACGATGGGTGGAAAAACGGTCCCAGTCTTGGGGGTACCGGGACAGGGGCTCCCAGGCACGCTCCCAGGGCGACTGCCAGGGCGGCTTCGGTACCCCCCGGCTGCTGCTGCCCTTGCTGCTACTTCTGCCTCCTCCTGGGCCACGCAGAGACGCAGGTACTTGCAGAGCTCTGCCATGTCGCGGTTGGCGGCTGTCAGGTACTCGTCAGTCGCGGTCTCCAGCTTCTCCCACTCCGCTGGGTCTGTCTCGTCCAGGTCCATGCCACACCGCTCGTCCACTGGTGGGGGGGAGGGGAGGGCGAAGTGGGGAGCGGAAGGCAGCAGGGAAGGGAACGGAAGCGTGAGGAAGGGAGGGGAGGGAGCAGCGGCGAAGGTACTTGCAGAGCTCTGCCATGTCGCGGTTGACGGCTGTCAGGTACTCGTCAGTTGCGGTCTCCAGCTTCTCCCACTCCGCTGGGTCTGTCTCGTCCAGGTCGATGCCACACCGCTCGTCCACTGGTGGGGGCGGGGAGGGAGGGATTGTGAAGGGAGGAAAAGGGAAGGAAAGGGAAGGAAAGGGAAGGAAAGGGAAGAAAAGGGAAGGAAAGGGACACGGGAGGAGACGAGGAACTTGCAGAGCTCTGCCATGTCGCAGTTGACTGCTGTCAGGGACTCGTCAGCTGCGGAATCGAGCAGGTCCAAGCCACACCGCTCGTCAACTGGTGGGGGGGGGAGAGGGGGACGGGAGGGGATGGGAGGGTGACCATTCACTGCCGGCTCACCGCCGCTGCTGTCTCGTCCAGGTCCATGCCACACCGCCCGCCACCTGACGTACAGGGAGAGGGGTACAGGGGGGAGGGGGAAAGGGGGGGGGTTGGGAGAAGGGTGACCTCGCAATGCTGGCTCACCACAACGTCTTTCCCCACCAGCTCCAAACCACACCTCTCGTCAACAACACCCCACTCCCTCACTGCGCCGGTGCTATAACTGGGCCGGTGCTATAACTGGGCCGGTGCTATAATTGGGCCGGTGCTATAACTGGGCCGGTGCTATAACTGGGCCGGTGCTATAACTGGGCCGGTGCTATAACTGGGTCGGTGCTACAACTGGGCCGGTGCTACAACTGGGCCGGTGCTATAATTGGGGCGGTGCTATAACTGGGCCGGTGCTATAACTGGGCCGGTGCTATAATTGGGGCGGTGCTACAACTGGGCCGGTGCTATAACTGGGCCGGTGCTATAATTGGGGCGGTGCTACAACTGGGCCGGTGCTATAACTGGGCCGGTGCTATAATTGGGGCGGTGCTACAACTGGGCCGGTGCTACAACTGGGCCGGTGCTATAATTGGGGCGGTGCTACAACTGGGCCGGTGCTATAACTGGGGCGACGCTATAACAGGGCTGAGCCCGCTAACCTGCTGCCCCGCCAGCGCACTGACCCACCGACCCCCTGAGCCTGCTGAGGCCCAGTTATAGCATCCGCCTAGTTATTGCCCCCTTGCCCCCTTGCCCCCTTGCCCCCATGCCCCCATGCCCCCATGCCCCCATGCCCCCTTCCCCCAAGTTGGTGAGCCTTCTCTCCCAGCAAAATCTTCCCTCTATTTGGTGACGCCCCCGACGTCCAAAGACGCCCCCGACTTCCGATGACACCCCCCCTCTTCCGAAGACTCCCCCGACTACCGAAGGCATCCCCGACTTCCTAGAATCCCTGGTCTTCGGAAGATCCCCCGTGTTCCGAAAATACCCCTTCGTTGTAGTAACCCACTCACCTGGGTTGAATTGGTAGTACTTCACATCTGGCAGCATGGGCAGTACCGACTCAAACGCTATATCCGCCTGCTCCACCGACGTGGAGGCCTCAGCCAGCACCACTCACCTGGATTGACCCTCTCACCTCACCACTCAGACGTTAAAGCCGCCTGTTCCACTGACGTCGCTGTCACTGCAAGCAACTGTCCTGTATCTGCTGTGCTTTAAGGCGTGTGCTTTAAGAAGCCTCATCACTCACCTGGGTTGAATCGGTAGTACTTCACATCTGGCAGCATGGGCAGCACCGACTCAAACGCTATATCCGCTTGCTCCACTGACGTCGCTGCCTCAGCCAGCACCTGCCCCGTATCCGCCACCCTCCACCCGGGCCTCCCGCGCAGCTTTGGCGGCGCCGAACCACACCCGAGGCTGACCAAGCAGTCCAGGGGCAGCTCTGGCCAGAGCAGCCGCGCCTCTCGGACCGCCATAATGGTCGGGTTGTTCGCGAAAATAGCCCCGTCTTGCCAGCGGTGCGGGCCCACGGCAAAGTCATCGAAGTAGTATGGGGCGGCGGAGGAGGCGCGGATGGCCTGCCACAGCTGCATCTTGCACGTGCCTGGCAGTGCGGATAACCCCGAGGAGCGCATGCGCGGGGGGGGGGTCGGAATGGGGGAGCCGTCGGGAGGGGGGTGGGGGGTCTCCCGAGTGCCGGGGGGATACTGTTGGTGGGTGGGAGGGGATGGGAAGCCGGGAGGGAAGCGAGGGAGGAAGGAGGGGAAGCGAGAGGAGTTAGGCGGATAGAATAGAAAGAGTAAGGGGCTGTGGAGGAGGCGGCTTGGATGGTCTGCCATGGCTGCATCTTGCACGTTCCTAGGAGGGCGGATAGCCCTGAGATCTGCATGAGCAGGGGTGGAGTCGGCTTGGGGGAGCCGTGGTGCGTCGACTCAAAATATGGTTGGGGAGTTGTGGTGGGGCTAAAGGGAGCACACTGCTTCCCACGCACTCAACCACCCAAGAGCACCCTGTTTCGACCCACCAACATCAACCAACAGCACATTACCTCCACCCACCCAAGCCTCACCTGGTAGTTTCTGAAGATGAAGGGAGTGGCAGGGGTGACGCTAACGAGCGTGGAGACCACAAACACCTTGGGCCCGCCCTTGACCGCGGAGTCAATGAGCAGATCGCCGTCTTCATCCGTGCACATCTCCTGCAGTAACTGCTCAAATTCCTCTGCGTTGTGCTGGTGAGGGGATAGCGTTTAGGGGTATTGGAGAACGGGGAGAGACGGTCAAAGAGCAGATCGCCGCCCTCATGCGTGCACATCTCCTGCAATAGCTGCTCGAACTCCTCATGCCACACTCACCTTGCTCCCATCCCCACCTTGCTCCCCTCCCTTCCGTACTCCCCTCTCCACCCTGCACCCCTCCCCTCCGTGCTCCCATCCCCACCTTAAACCCCTCCCCTCCGTGCTCCCATCCCCACCTTAAACCCCTCCCCTCCGTGCTCCCCTCCTTGCTCCCATGCACCAGCACTCGGTAGTTCAGAGACGAGCTCTTGCACAGCTAGCTGGTCCAGCTTGTCTAAAGAGGCCTCAGACTACCATGTATCCACCACACCATGCAGGCTCCCTTCGCTCTCCACACTTTGCTGCCGTGCACCACCACGCGGTAGTTCTGCGACGAGCTCTTGTTACAGCTGGTACGGCTTGTATTGATTTGCCACACATGACTGTGAACCCTTACCATGCTGATAGCACCATCCCCATGCACACACCTTGCTGCCGTGCACCACCACGCGGTAGTTCTGCGACGAGCTCTTGTACAGCTGGTCCAGCTTGTCGCGCCACGACGCCGACTCCATGGACTCCACGTTCGAAAACACAAGCTTGCCTGGGGCGTTGAGGAGGGGAGGCGGGAGGGGGGGGGGAGGGGGGGGGAGCGAGGAGGAGAGAGAGGGGGGTCTCTTGAGTTGGCTAATGAGACTCCATGGACATTGGACTCCACGTTTGACAACACCAGCTTGCCTGGGGCGTTGAGGAGGGGAGGCAAGGCGGGGGGGAGTGAGGAGGCGAGACAGAGGGGTTTTTTGAGTTGGCTGATGTGACTCCATGAACACCAGCTCGTCTGGAGAATTGAAGGGGATTGAAAAAGACTGTCAACGAGACTCCTCAGATGTATGGTACGTCCTAGTAACCCCCACTCACCTAGTTGCCTGTACACATGGTCGCACTGGTCTAGAGAGAGGCGCTTGACGCCCAGCTCCCCCGCCAGCATGCCCCCGGTGGACGTGCCACACACGAGGTCAAACAGCTCGTGCACCTTCCTGCCCGTGCGCCCCTCGATCTGCCGCAGCATCTGCACCATGGCCAGCCCCCGCATGCCGCCCCCATCCATCACCAGCACGCGCACCCCCCTCTGCCCCACCGGTCGGGAGCACAGAGCCTCCTGCACTAGCCGGTTCTCGCCTGGAGGATTGCAGGGGGGGAACGAGACACATTGAAGAGGATACTTCAGCATCTGCACCATGGCCAGCCCCCGCATGCCGCCCCCGTCCATCACCAGCATGCGCACCCCCCTCTGCCCCACCGGTCGGGAGCACAGAGCCTCCTGCACTAGCCGGTTCTCGCCTGGAGGATTGCAGGGGGGGAACGAGACACATTGAAGAGGATACTTCAGCATCTGCACCATGACCAGCCCCCGCATGCCGCCCCCGTCCATCACCAGCACACGCACCCCCCTCTGGCCAACTGGACGGGAGCACAGGGCCTCTTGGACTAACCGGTTCTCGCCTGAAGCGTGGGAGGAAGAAATGAGAGGCGGAGATGAGAGGCGGAGATGAGAGGTGGAGGAAATGTTTCGCGACTGCATCAGCATCTCCTCTGCATCACGGCCATGCCCCGCATTCCTTCCGCCCATATCCATCACCAAAAGAGTAAGCCAGCATAGCGAGAGCCAGCCTAGCCAACTACAGAACGCCAACGTACCCAAGATAGAAAGCACGCGCGCTGCTGCCTTGCGGAACGAGAAGACAGTCGGCACCTCCACCACTAGCGCCCTGTGCTGGTACCTGGCGAACCCCCCTCCCCTCCATCCCGCCCCTTCTCGCCCTTCCCCTCCCTCGCCCCCGCCCCCTCCTCCCAGTCCCCCGCCCCCAGTAGCGAGGTGGTAGAGCCCATCTAAGAACCCCGGCTGGGCCAACAGCAGACGGCGGTTGTCCGGGCAGAATGCCAAGTTACCCAACGCCATTAGGGCTTGAGTTTGCACCTGGAGGAGAGCAGGGAGGTAAGTGTTAGAACATGTAAAGAGAAAAATTTGACTATAGAGGGAGGTGGTACAGGGTTATATACCTAGGGAGCCAATCGTAGGTTAAGAGGGGCTTGACCAACCCAACCATAACTGATTGGACCAATGATGGTTGGGAAGGTTGGACCACCAACAATTGAGGAGCCAATAATGTTGGTAGAAGACCAACAAGATTGAACACCTCGATAGTTGGGGTCAAGGGTTGGTTGAATATCCAACCCCAACATTCATCTACAACCCTAGATAGCCCAACTTGGTTATATATACCCAAGTATAAGAAACTATGTAGGATAAAGAGAATGTTATATTCTAACAGTAAGGAGGTTGAAAGCGCGCACAGGGATGGGGGAAAGGGGGGAAGAGGGATGGGGGAGGAAAGGGGGGAAGAGGGATGGGGCAGGTCTTGGCAGGTGCTGGCCGGTGCTGGCAGGTGCTGGCCGGTGCTGGCAGGTGCTGGCAGGTGCTGGCAGGTGCTGGCAGGTGCTGGCAGGTGCTGGCCAGTGCTAACAGTTGCTGACAGGTGCTGGCAGGTGCTGGCAGGTGCTGGCTGGTGCTGAAAGGTGCTGGCAGGTGCTGGCCTGCCAGCACCTGCCAGTACCTACCAGCACTGGCGAGGCCCAACTGCCAGCCCCTGCCGCAGCCACCCCCGAGGCATGAGCCTCGCCGGACCCGCCCAAGGTGCAGCAGGACTTGGCGCTGGAGGTCCACGCCTCCCGCTTCACCGCCCTCCTTGAGAAGAGCCGCCGCCTCCAACCTAACCCCCTCATGGGGCACACGCAGCGGCGGGCTGGGAGCGGGAGACTGGCTCCTCGCCATCCCCCTCTCACCTGCACTCCGCCTCTCCCCCGCCCACTTCGCCTTCGCCATCGCATTCCGCCTCGGCCTGCCGCACAATGTCCCCGGGGTGTGTGACTGCATCGACAAGATCAAGATAGAGGACCCCGTCTGCCCAACCACCTCCTCCACTGCCATACCGGCCCCGGGCGGACTGCCACCCACCACGCCCTTCGCAATGAAGCGGCCCCCATCGCCAAGGATGTGGGGTTCCTCACCCGGACGGAGAGCAACGTCTTCACCCGGGTGGCGGATCTGGTGGCGGACGTCGCCATCTGCCATCCCTCCACGGGGGCAGTGTGGCTGTGCGACGTCACGGTCACCGACCCCATCAAGTCCAGGGACGCACGGGCTCGGAGGGGGACCGCACACGCCGCCACCGTTGCAGCCCGGGAGAAAGAGGTCAAGCGCGTCCCCCCTGCCCTGACTGGGTAAGGTTCTTCCCCATGCCGGTCGAGACATATGGCTGCAATGCCGTGGGGACCCTTGCCTTCCTCCGCCTCTGCGCCGAGAACCAGTTCCACGCCTCTCCCGCCTCCCCAGAGACGGCCAAGCTCTTCCCCACCTACCGCCAACGTTGGTCCGTCGCCCTGCAGAGGGGGCAGGCCGTGGCTCTCAGCAACAAGTGCAACCTGGCTCTCCCTGCCGACGTGTGGCCCGTAGTGGGACCATCGGAGCCCATGGACCTCAGCACCCTACTGCATGCCCTTGAACCCGAGGGGGAGCTCCCCTAGCGAGGGGGGGGAGGGGCGGCTAGCTGGCTAGTCTAGGAAAAAAGATGGTTGTTTTTGCTGTGCCTTGCATGTACTCTCTCTCTTAATAAATAAAGGACCATTCACCTGCCAGCACATGCCAGCACCAGCCAGCACCAGCCAGCAGCTGCCAGCAGCTGCCAGCACCAGCCAGCAGCTGCCAGCACCAGCCAGCACCAGCCAGCACCAGCCAGCACCAGCCAGCAGCCGCTAGCATTGGCCAGCACCGGCCAGCACTGGCCAGCACCTGCCAGCATCGGCCAGCACCTGCTAGCCATACCCCGTATCCCGCACGTGCCATCATGCGCGAGTCGGCACAGGCTGGTCAGAAAGGCTGCCAGGTCCACGTTCAGAGGTGAGCGCGAGGTTAGCCACCACCGGAGTGGTTTTTGAGTCAACTCAAATCCCTCATACCATCATGCATGCCTCATACCATCCCACTTACCATCATGCATGCCTCATACCATCCCACTTACCATCATGCATGCATACCTCATGCCACATCATCCCACGCACCATCATGTGCGTGTGGTGGCACAGGCTCGTCACAATGGCTGCCGAGTCCACATTCAAGATCCGTGCCGCCACCGAGTCAGAGGCCAACGCGAGGTTGGCAATCACTCGGAGCACGGACACGAGAATCTCGGGCTGCTGGGAGAGCAGCAGCGAGCAGATGGCTGACAGCACGTCCGACTTCACCAGGTGGGTGACCAGGGCGTCGTCCATCGCCAGGGATGAGAGAGCGTGGCACGCTTGCTCCACCTGTTTCAGGGGGGGGGGAGGGGAGAGCGCAAGGGAGCGTTGAAGGCTGAAGGGAAAGGGGGGAACGAGGATTTTGGGCTGCTGGGAGAGCAGCAGCGAGCAGATGGCTGCGAGCACGTCCGACTTAACCAGGTGGGTGACCAGGGCATCGTCCATCGCCAGGGATGAGAGCGCATGGCACACTTGCTCCACCTGATGGGTAGAGGGGACGGAGAGGGGAAGTGGAAGGGAGGTTGCACGGGACGGCACGGGTTTCCAGAGTGTCGGAGCAGCAGCCGCGCATGCATGCTCACTCACCATGTGCTTCGAGCCTGAAAGCAGCACACTCACGATCTGCCCTTGAGACGTTTCAGCTGCATGCGAAGACATGCCCACTCCTGCATGCACCTCCCTGCCGACCAGTGACACGCTGCCAGCCACCACTCACCATGTGCTTGGAGTCTGAGCGCACCATGCTCACGCCTAACAAACAATTCACTGGTACACGACCCGAAAGGCAAGCGCCCCTTATGCATGCACCTCCCTCCCACCACCCACCACCCACCACCCACCACCCACCACGTGCTTGGAGTCTGAGAGCACCATGCTCACGATCTGCCTGATCGCGCTCTCATCTTTCCCAATCGCCGCCCGGTTCTCGCGGTCCTCGCAGATGCGAGCGAGAGTGGACGCCAGCAGCGGGTGGTGCACGGACGAGTAGCGGAAGATAAGTGCAAAGAAGTCGCTCAGGCGGTGCTTGGACGCGGAGAAATAGGAGCCCTGCTGGGCCTCCAAAGCCTGTGAATTAAACAGGCAAGGGAGGACAAGAGGGTGGTGCACGGACGAGTCGCAGAAGATGAGCGCAAAGAAGTCGCTCAGGCGGTGCTTGGACGCAGAAAAATAGGACCCCGTTAGGCATCCAACGCCTGTGGGGAAGAGAAGGGGCGGAAGGGAGGGAAGCGGGGAGGGCCGGAGGGTGGTGCACGGACGAGTAGCGGCAGATGAGTGCGAAGAAGTCGCTCAGGTGGTGCTTGGACGCCGAGAAGTATGACCCCTGCTGGGCCTCCAACGCCTGTGGGTAGGACAAGGGGAGGAATGGAGGGAGGGGGGAAGGGGGGAGGGTGGTGCATGGACGAGAAGTGGAAGATGAGGGGTAAAGACTTGCTCACGCCGCAAGTGAGTGAAGGGAACGGACCCTCACGATGCTGACATCCACGATCTGGAAGGTGGGGTTGCTGAAGATGTGCACGTTGGTGAGGGAGACGGGCCGAAGCCCATTAGCACTCCCACTCGGTGCAGTGATGGACTCACCACGATGCTGACATCCACAATCTTGAGGTCGGCGTCGCTGACGATGCGCACGTTGGCGAGGGACAGATGGCGCAGGTGGCGGCAGGGGAGGATCTCCGGGAAGAACTCGAGGGGGTTGTTGAACAGGCGCAGCACCCTCAGGTCCGCCAGGCTCCTGATGACGAGGGAGTGAGTGAGGGGAGGCGGGGTGCGGAGCCAAAGCAGGCGAGACAGGGACGGGAAAGGTGGGCAGGCATGCATGCAAGTGGAAAGGCAGGGCAGCAGCACAGCAAGGAGGGCTGGAGGATTTTTTCGGTTAGAATTGTCGGCCCGGAATTCACACCTCAAGTCAAGCAGGGGACGCACTTCAAGGCTTGTCAGAAAAAGGAAGCGCTAGAAAAAGGAAGCGCTAGAAAAAGGAAGCACTAGAAAAAGGAAGCACCAGAAAAAGGAAGCGCTAGAAAAAGGAAGCGCTAGAAAAAGAAAGCGCTAGAAAAAGAAAGCGGCATGAAAGGCTCATTGTGGAACTGACCTGAAGTCCAGCAGGGGACGAACGAGGCGGTTGTTTTCCAGAGAGAGCTCCCTCAGCTTGGTGCACTCGCGAAGTGTGACTGTAATGGGGGGTCAATTTGGAAAAAACAGGGCTGGATCGGCAAAGGGTCCAGAATCTGACGAACGACTCAAGCAGCTCGCATGCAGACGTCCCTGCAAGCTTCACAGACCAGCGCGCACTCATCCACTCACTTGGGAAAAGAACTGGACTGAGGTCACCCACTCACTGCTCAGTGCACATGGAGGAAGACGGAGGGTGTAAGCCCACTCATTCGGAAAGGACGCCAGCTTGTTGTCGGCCCACAGCACTCGCAGCTGCTGCAGGTGCCCTATCTCCTTGGGAAGGGCGCTCAGGCGGTTGTCCCCTCACTAGCCATGGAGAACCAGGGAGCGCTTAGAGTAACTTACTGGGAACGGACGCCAGCAGGTTGTTGTCGGCCCTCAGCACTCGCAGCTGCTGCAGGTGCCCTATCTCCCCTGGCAGCGCGCTCAGGCGGTTGTTCTCCACCTCGAGCACCTCCAACAGGGGCAGATTCATGGTGAAGTTGGGGAGCACCTGGGGTGGGGTTGGGAAGGAGTGAGGGCGGAACGGGGAGATACAAGGAACAGTAAGGTCGAAGGGAATGGCAAGGGGGCAAGAGCCTGAGAGGTATACACTGCTTCGGCGGGGCAAGTGGCCTGAAATGGGATAGATTTCTTACAGTGGGGGTAAGAGGCCTGAGTCCTGATGAATGTGCTTACAGAGAGGGAGCAGGAGGAGAGCGAGAGAGCCTTCAGTGAGCGCCAGTGGTCCGAGTAACCCAGCATGCTCTCAGCTGTTGATGTTGACAGCACCTGCTGCTGCTGCTGCTGCTGCTCGGGAGAAGCAGATACTGACTGTTGCTGTTGCTGTTGCTGCTGCTGCTGCTGCTGCTGCTGCTGCTGCTGACCCCCTGACAACGCCCCTCCTTTCCCTCCCTTATCTCCCGACCCTGTCTCCACCAACACACCGCCACTCCCTGCACTCCCTCCTAGCGCGATGCCGCCACCCGAACCAGCAGAGCCCGCCCCTGCACCTGAACTACCACCTGTGCCTCCCCCAGCCCCGACACCTGAAATTCCACCTGAAATTCCTATGGGAATGGCGCTGGCAGCAGCAGCGGCGGCGTCTGCGCGGTGCAGGGCCACGCCCTTGGCGTCCAGCAGCTTCGCCAGCATGGAGAGGCCGTCGCTGCCTGAGTACGACGCGCTGCTGCTCGCGGCTATCCGCGTCAGTCGCAGCACGTGCAGCGGTTCCCTCTGCTTGTGCACCCTCAGGTTCATCCGGACCGTCCATTTCTCGGCATCCTGCAATCCCAGCCGTTCGTCACTCGTTTCTGATGAGTCTTTTGATGCTCCTCCTGGTTCTGCTGCTTCTGGAGCTGATGCTGACTCCCTGTTCTCCTCCCCCTCGCCACGTGGCTCCACGTGCATGCCTACTACCACGTGGTCATGGGGGGGCGGTAGGGTTACCATCACGAGCGACTGTAACCGTAACGCCACCTGTTCCTCGTCGTCGCCTGCAGCCCAGTCGATCTGGATGCGGAATTTGCACAGCCGCTCCGCGCTCACCTGTGGCTCGCAAATCTTGCTCAGCAACGCTCGCGCCACCGCGCCAGGCCCACCTCCGCCGTCCAATTCGTCCCCAGCGTCGGACGCCGCAGATGACGTGGCACCATCTGAACTGGTCCTTTCGACAGGGAGATCTTTCTCTTTCTCCTTGCTCTTCTCCTTCTCCCCGTACCCCAGCTCGAGCTGGAATTTGTCCGTCTCCCGCTTCCATCCCCCCATCCACGACATCTTGAACCGCTTGCACGCCGCCTGTGCTCCGCGAAACCCTCGAACCCCTAGAGATCCAAGAGCTCCTCCCGCGTCGCTAGTCCCTGGGGTCCTCTCAGATCCTCGAGTGTGTCTAAGTGCTCGAGATCCTCGGGAATGTCGGGAATGTCGGGAATCTCGCGAATGTCGAAAAAAACGTGAATCTCGAATCGTCTGAAATCCTTCAGCGGCTAGGCCTGTGAAAAGCGATGGAGTCAAGCGAACGTCAGGTGTCGCTTGGCGATGATCTCGAGAATCGCTCGGCGTCGCAGGACGAGCAGAGTCGAAACGAAATGAGGTGGGAGCAGAGTTCGGATAAGCACGGCTGGCACTCGCGCATGCGCTGGCGTCGGGAATTCCAGCAACGCGTGAAGATCGCTTTAAGGACGTCGAGCCCGGAGCGGGATGCGATGGCGATTGACTGAGAAGAGACGACGAACCGCGGGGAGACGATGACTGACCGCGCTGAGCTGAACCCTGCTGGTGCGTCTCCTTCAAGGGGAATCCGAATCTGCGGGAGAGGACCGAAGAGCCTGATTGAAGAAGGCTAGAGAGGGACTCTATGGTTCGTCGGGATGTGGCAAATGACGCGCTTTCAAGCTCCGGATCAGGAATACGCTGCGAATTGATCCGTCTACGTTTGGTGTCCGGTGGTCCGTCAGAAATCTCCGCCTTATCAGCCTGGCGAACGGACATTAAACCCTTTCAGTCGACCACAACCCGCCATTAGCCATTGAATCCTTCATCATAAAATACTTAGGCGTGAGAATTCTTAGCCATCAGGTCCGTGACTCGTATTAAAAAAAGGTCCTCAACGCTCTGCCGACGAAAAAAGGCTCACGGAAAGAAAGCTTAATAAGAAATGTCGTGCACGCGCATGCGATGGTGGTCTCTCTGATCCGCTTCAGAGCCGGTCAGCTGGGCCTGCTCTACTCTAAACTGGAGCCAGGGTTGTGCTTCAGCTGAATTCATCAATCAACTGCTTGACTTGGTTGCTGCAGGTTTCGCGTTCTGTTCGATCCATTCCCTAGGGAAAAAAACAACCCCCCGCTCCACACACCTGCAAAACCTTCTGAACCGATCTCACTCATCCAGGTCGATTTACTCGCCACCACCTCAACCAAATGCGCGAAAATAATTTCCGAGCGGCAGGTTTCAGGATGGTTATGAATGTGTTACCACCTCACCTGCTCGCTACAGGTGTGCCGCTGTACTGCACGCCAGCACGGCAATTTCAAGAATGTCAATTCGCCGTCACCAGCCCCCAGCACAGAGCATCCGCCAAGTCAAAAATGCCGCGTGTTATAGAGCTGCACCTCGCTTTCGCAGAGCAATACACTACACTTAGCACCACAAAGCACTTTACGCTAAATTTTCATTTTTTGAAAATCTCAGATTCCACTAGTTTTGTGTGTTCGTTGAGCCGAGAGAAGGTTAGCATCTCCCTCGACAAGGACGAGATCAGCCTGCGGGCTCACAACACATAACGGTTAAGGCACCCCGCGCGAGCGGGCATAACCAAATTTTTCCGTCCTTCAGACCTTCCTAGCTGCTTCTTTTTGCGCGTCATTCTAGGTATCGCTCGTACTGCCGCTCGCTCTCTGCCCGCCTAGTTCTTTCGGCGCGCTGTAGAGACACGTAGGGCTTGTCGAGATTAATTGCGTAACAGGCGGCACTCCACAGCCGCACTGCCACCCTCTCTCAGTTTAGACCCGAAGTTGGGCCGTCGCGAGAAGTTGGGTGAAGGATCACGAGGAAAACCAGGCTGCGAGGAAGGGTTTAGAGGGGTAAACGTAGGGGGTGGAGAGGGGTACACAGGGGCGACAGGGTCCGAGGAGGGCGAGCGGGTGCAAGGACGAGTGCCGGAGTACAGAGGGTTGAGAGGGTGCGAGGAGGAGTGGGCGGTGATAAGTGTGAGAGTACAGAGGGCGATGTCGACGAGAAGAGGCGCGCCCTCGAGAGGTCCGCCCAAACACCAAAACACGTGAGCCCCGCGTGGAAGTCTACGGCTCACCAGTCTGTACCCATTGTTGTAAATATGTCCGTGGGCTCTCCGCATCCGGCTAAAACCGCGGATGCGCTCACGGGAATGCGTCCGCATGCCTTTCCTGTGACATGGATGCTGAGAAGCCTTGAACCCAAAACTCTGATAAATCCCCGAAACCTTGATAAAAACCCAAAACTCTGATCAAAACCCGAAATCCTGATAAAAGCCTGAAACCCTGATAAAGCCCGAAACCCTGTCAAAACCCGAATCTGGTGTGGCCGTTTGTTGTGTGTCCGCGCACTAGAGTTGCCAGTTTTTTCAATCGCCTCATGAAACAAACATCTTTCCATTGGTGTTGCCGTGACACCGCATGACATGGCATGACATGGCAGGGTGGCGTGGGTTCCGGAACGAAATGTGCAGAAGAAAGAGACGGTGAGACGAGAGGGGGGGGCGGGGGGCGGGAGAGAGAGAGTAAGGACGAGAGGGGGCGAATGCGCAGAGAAAAGAGACGGTGAGACGGGGGGAAGGGTGGGGGGGAGACGAGGGGAAGAGAGTAAAGAGAAGAGAGGGGACGACTGCGCAGCGCCGAGAGGACAGAGGAATGACATGCACAGAGAAAAGAGACGGTTAGAAGGGGCGAGGCGGAGAAGAGAGAGGGGAAAGAACGGCGTGAGGAAAGCAAGGGGAGAAGTGGAGGAGAGAAGGGATAAAAGGAGAAAAGGAGAGGAAGGAAGGAGTGGGGGAGTGATATTGTACATAATGCTGAAGATCGATCCAATTCTCGTCCCTTGTCCTCCCCTTCCCCTCCCCACCATCTCCCCTCCTCCCTCCCACCTCCTTCCTCCTCCGACCACCCCTACCCTTGCAATGTCTTGTTTGTCTTATTTTTCTCCCTACCTCAATCCCCCCCCCCTTCCTCCACCTCCCCTCCGCTCCCCTCCCCCGGGAGCTAGGCACCAAGGCGGGGCCATTTTGCAAACATCGCCTCCCTCCCGTCCTTACTCCCTCTCGTCTCCCCCTTCGCCCCCTACCGCCCCCTTCCACCCCCCAACCCCACGACCCCCAGGAGCTAGGCACCAAGACGAGGCCGTTTGCCAACATCTCTGGCGTGTGCCGGCGGTGCTGCGACCAGATAGCGTGGCGGCGCAAGTGAGTGGGGGCAGGGGAGCGGGTGAGTCAGAGGCACTTGAACAGTCATACGCTGTGATCCCCCCCTCCCCTCCCCGGATTTTTCCCCTGACCATTTCTCCTCTGCCTCCCCCTCTTTCCCTGCTCGCAACCCTGCCCTTCTCTGTCCCTGTTCTTTCGTATAATCTAATCAGCACGCCCACCCCATTCTCCCCTCCTCTCTACCCCTCTCCCTCTCCTCCAAACCCCCTTCCCATTCTTCTCTCCCCCTTCCCCCCCCCCCCCTTTTCTTGGTTGCAAGGTACGGGAAGTACAAGCCGCTTAAAGAGCCGGCCAAATGGTGAGATGCGAGGCAAAGTCAGGGAGAGGCTTGTGGACTTGTGGGGCGAGGGCGAGCACACACACACCAATGGGGTTGCTGAGTTGATCGATTCAAACAGACAACATAGCCATTTTCTGAGAAAACTCCATGTCTTGATGCCTCTCCCCTCATTGCCTCTCGCTCATCCAACCCCTTGTCGCTTTCTTTTGCTCGCCCCATATTTTCGGCACCCGCATCCTCTCTCACTCATCCACGCCCTTTTGCATCCTCTCTCTCTCTCTCTCTCTCTCTCTCTCTCTCTCTCTCTCTCTCTCTCTCTCTCTCTCTCTCTCTCTGTTTCTCGTGACCAACCCGGGTGCACGAATTGCAGTGGTGCATGTGGCAAGAGGAGCGTGCGCGACGCATACCATGCCATATGCAAAGGTGAGGCATACCATGCCATATGCAGAGGTGAGGCATACCATGCCATATGCAAAGGTGAGGCATACCATGCCATATGCAGAGGTGAGGCATACCATGCCATATGCAGAGGTGAGGCATACCATGCCATATGCAGAGGTGAGGCATACCATGCCATATGCAGAGGTGAGGCATACCATGCCATATGCAGAGGTGAGGCATACCATGCCATATGCAGAGGTGAGGCATACCATGCCATATGCAGAGGTGAGGCATACCATGCCATATGCAGAGGTGAGGCATACCATGCCATATGCAGAGGTGAGGCATACCATGCCATATGCAGAGGTGAGGCATACCATGCCATATGCAGAGGTGAGGCATACCATGCCATATGCAGAGGTGAGGCATACCATGCCATATGCAGAGGTGAGGCATACCATGCCATATGCAGAGGTGAGGCATACCATGCCATATGCAGAGGTGAGGCATACCATGCCATATGCAGAGGTGAGGCATACCATGCCATATGCAGAGGTGAGGCATACCATGCCATATGCAGAGGTGAGGCATACCATGCCATATGCAGAGGTGAGGCATACCATGCCATATGCAGAGGTGAGGCACGTCATTCCTTCCATCCGTGTGCATCCCTAGGCTTGCCCCATCTCAACCACACAGAGACTGTGCACGAGTCACAGGCTTCTGTTATAGCCCCCTTCACTGTCCCCCCCATTTATTCCCCCCCCCGTGCATCCATGCACACTCACAGCATGTGCGAAGGAGAAGGGAGTGTGCGCCAAGTGTCGACAGCCCACCAAGGAGATTGTGCAAGAGTACGATGCTTCTGCTTCTTTATCTTCACCTTTCTCCTGCTTCCTGCTTTCCGTCTTCACTCCATCTTTTCTCTAATCCTTTCAGCCTTTTCCTACCAAACTCTTCCCAGAACAGTCAGTCGCTTTGCTCTCATCACAGCCACATCCCCTCTCCCCCCCCCCTTCCTCCTCCCCAATGCACCCTTCGCCTCCATCCAACCCCTCCGGTGCATCAGTGGAGCAGAAGTGCGGGAGAACGAGATGAAGCAACTAGAGGAGGTGAGCGGGCGGGAGACGGGGTAGGGATGGGTGGAGGAGAAACCAAGGGAGTGGGAGGGGCAGGGAGGAGGGAGGGGAGGGGAGAATGGAATGATTGAATGGCAGTGCTGGAGAGAGAGATGAAGCGCCTAGAGGGCGATAGAAGGCATGCATGGGGAGAGGAGAAGCCGACTGGGGACAGCAAGGCGAACAGCAGCGGGGAGGACGGCAAGGTTGTTGCATCCAATCCAACCGGCAGCAGTACAGTACGGTTGTAGCCGACGGATGGCCGGGTCAATGAATCGCTTGGTTCAAAGCACATCTTGCACTTTCTTCTCAACTCTTCCCCTTCCTCCTCTCTGCCTCTCCGCTCTTTTGAATGACAGGCTCTTGGGCGGCTGAGGGAGAGGGAGAGGAGAAGCCTGCTGCGTGCGGTACGTGTGTGGCTTGCCCAGGTGCCCAGGTGCCCAGGTGCCCTGGTACACAGGTGGCCAGGTGCTCCTGTGTGGCTTAATGTGTTTCTGTGGTGCTGAGGTTGTGATGCGCCTCAGAAGTTAGGTGCCTGATGTGTTGTACCTAGGTGCTTGCGCTTGTAGTGTGTGTAGCTGATGTTTAAGTGGTGTGAATTTTGTCGGATTCTGTTACTGAGTCCAATGGAAAAACGAGAACAGGCTCGGGGCTCAAGCTTTGTTGGTGCTGTTCGCTCCGTCTGTGTTGTTGCCTGTGGGTTTGCTGGTGGCAGATGGAGAAGGGTAACTCAGGGGCAGCAACCAGCGTGGCTAACAAGGCTGCCAAGAGGGAAGCAGAGGAAGACAATAGTGAGGAGGACGAGGAGGACGAGGAGGACGAGGAGGACGAGGAGGAGGATGAGGAGGATGAGGAGGGAGAGGATGGGGAGGAGGAAGATGAAGAGGGTGGGGTGGAGGAGGAAGGTGAGGTGGAGGATGGTGAGGATGATGGGGCCAAGAATGATAACGGAGATGAGGGGGATGCGGAGGGTGCGGATGGACATGGTGACCACAAAGACGATGGCAAGCACCATGAGGAGGCAGAGGAGGATGCAGCTGGCAAGAATGGCGGCAATTGAGCAGTGTAGACCAGCCCCTCAAATTTCATGATTTTTTTTCCTGATTTTGCTGATTTTCAGGGTGTTTTTCTGTACCGACCCTGGAAAATCAGCGTTGGAATCTGAAATAACGGGGCTAACTAGTTAAAAAAAACAGTACCAACCCTGATTTTCAGGGTGTTTTCAGGGTGCCTTTGTGTACCGAACTGACCCTGAAAATTCAGTGTGGTCTAAAACGAATCTGAGGGCCTGGTCTTGTAGTCGAACAGCCAGCCCTGTGAGGGAAGCTGCCTTATGGCAAAAAATGCATGTGTTCGTGGACTATGGCAAAGAGCCTAGCAGCAAGACCAGTTTTATTTACCATGTGTGCTACCATACGCTGGTTTGTGTATCATATACTGGTAAAATTATCTTGCAATTACAGTGGCTTCACTTCTTTGACAGCTGAGAATTAAACTGTTACATGCCTACAGCATTTACAAGCCTCTAAGCTATATGTACACAGGCACCATTGCAGTACCCCATTCATTTCATGGGTCCCGGAAACCCGTTGCATCGTATCAAAGCGCACTAAACTCCCTCTCAACCACTCATCTCAGAGGACTGGGCCGGTCGACCAGCCAAACATGTCTCCTCCTCCCCCACCCCACGCTCCTTCTCCACTTGTATCTTTCCCACCCCCATCTTTCCCCCCTCTTCCTTCCTCCCCACCCCCATCTTTCCCCCCTCTTCCTTCTCTCCTTCCCTCCCTCCCTTTTCCCCTTCTCCAATCACCACACCGCGAACACCGCCTTCCCCCGCACCCTTCCTCACCCCCATGGACTCCAAATCCACCGCTCTCATTTCCGTCACCCACCCCGTCCCGCTCTCCATCCACCAGTCCGCCGCCCGATCCTTCCCCGTCGCCGCCCACTCCTTGTCCACTAGCACCGTCTCCCGCTGCTCCTGCTTCTCCCCCGTCTCTATCCCCAGCCCAGCATCCCTCTGCTCTAACACAGCGCAGGGCACGCGCCCCAAGGGGTGGTCCTGGGGGGAGAGCATGAGCGCCGGGGGCCCTAGGGGGAGGAGGTCCCCCCTGTCAAACTGCCATGTGTTCCAGAACTTGCCGTAGGTCTTGACCAGTTTCTTCAGCTCCTGCTGCTGCATCACCTCGGGCACCCCTGGATTCACCCACAGCCCCTCGCAGATCTGAAGAGGGGGGGTTGCAGGAGGGAGAAATGAGCCCCTGGGGCCACAGCAGCCCCTGGCAAACAGCCAGGTGTTCCACACCTAGCCATAGGTCTTCACGGGTTTCTTCGGCTCCTGCCCACCCATAGGCATCACTTGAGGCACCCCCAGGTTCACCCACAGGCATCACTTGAGGCACTCCCAGGTTCACCCACAGGCATCACTTGAGGCACTCCCAGGTCCACCCACAGGCCGTTGCGGATCTGAAGAGGGAGGGGGGACGGGAGGAGAGTGGTATGGAGGGAAAACATGAGCGGCAGCACCAGCCCCTGTCGAAGTGACCATGTGATCCGGCTTAACCCACAGGCCCTCACTTCGACTTGTCAGGGCGGATGCGGACACAGGGTAGAAGTGAGAGGAACAGGCATGTGAGCAGAATTACCACACAGCGCGAGTTACCATGCAGAGTTACCATGCAGAGTTACCATGCAGGGTTGCCATGCAGAGTTACCATGCAGAGTTACCAGCGCAGAAAAACAACACCCCCTGAGGGTGGTGGTGGTGCATGCAAATAACCGATGTCTAACCAGTGCCAGTGTGCGCCTTTGGAGAGCAACCAGAATGTATGATCAACCAATGCATGCTTCCTGCATGCTTCCTGCATGCGTGCTTGCCTCATAGTAGTGCGAGTGCCACAGATGCTTCTCCTCCTCTGGCAGCTTCTTAAACACCGACTCCGCCACTATGTACTCCACTCCTGCGGTATTGGGAGGAGACAGACAGACAATTGTAAGAGTATGAGAGCCTTTCAACCCTGAAAACCAACTCCCTCACTCCACTCCTCTAGAAGCATCTTAAACACCGGCTCCGTCGCTATGTACTCCACTCGTGCGGTGTTGGAAGGTATCAGCAAGAAGAAACCTGAATCATTCACCCCCAGACATCAACTCCACTGCTCCTATGGAAGCTTCGTGAACACCGACTCCGTCGCTATATACTCCACTCCTGCAGTTCAGTGGCAGCCAATGTGGCAGTTGAGGGAGAGAAGAAGCTGACGCCTCAGTGTGTGGCTCGTGAGCATTGTCAATCGTGACCCTCCATTGTCAATCGTGACCCTCCATTGTCAATCGTGACCCTCCATTGTCAATCGTGACCCTCCATTGTCAATCGTGACCCTCCATTGTCAATCGTGACCCTCCATTGTCAATCGTGACCCTCCATTGTCAATCGTGACCCTCCATTGTCAATCGTGACCCTCCATTGTCAATCGTGACCCTCCATTGTCACTTGTGACCCTCCATTGTCAATCGTGACCCTCCATTGTCACTTGTGACCCTCCATTGTCAATCGTGACCCTCCATTGTCACTTGTGACCCTCCATTGTCAATCGTGACCCTCCATTGTCACTTGTGACCCTCCATTGTCAATCGTGACCCTCCATTGTCACTTGTGACCCTCCATTGTCAATCGTGACCCTCCATTGTCACTTGTGACCCTCCATTGTCAATCGTGACCCTCCATTGTCACTTGTGACCCTCCATTGTCAATCGCGACCCTCCATTGTCACTTGTGACCCTCCATTGTCAATCGTGACCCTCCATTGTCAATCGTGACCCTCCATTGTCAATCGTGACCCTCCATTGTCACCATGCACGCCACTCTCGTAGACAGGGAGGGGTGCAGGGAGGCTACAAGCACCAGGAAGGAATCAGAACCGTTCATTCCCGGTCCTCAGCTCCCTCACTCAACTCCTCCTCTCTATCGTGAAGGCTACTCACCGATGATGCGTGCATTCGCCTGGTCCGAGTCGAACACGATGCACTGCAGCACGTCCTCTGTCAGCCTTGAAACCAGGTGGTGCGTCTCGATCATGCGCCCGGGGCTCTGCGCGTAGTGCGCCCACGTGTTCACGTGCTGGCAGAAGGACTTGAGGGGGCGGAAGGACTGCAGCATAGAGGTGGTTCCCTCGAGCGCCTGTGTTGCCATGGAGGGGGCTTCGCCTGGCACCTGGATGGTGGGTACACGGGGGGGCGAAGGGGAAGGGGGTGGGGGGACGAACAGGGAGGGGGGAAGAGCGAGTGGTGGCGTGGTGACGTGCTGGCAGAAGAAGATGACTGATTGGAGCAGACCGACTGGCGCAGAGAGGTGGCTCACTCGAGAGCCTGTTTTGCCATGGAGGGGGCTTGGCCCTCTGGCCAGGCACCTGGGGCAGAGGATGGGCGGAAGGGAAAGAGGAGGGGGGCGGGGAGAAGGGGGCGTTGAGGAGGGATGGAGTGCTGGTGGGCGCGTGAGGGTTGGTAGAAGGATTGGAGGGCACGAGAGGACTGCAGCATGCGCGTGGTGGTCTGTCGTGAGTGTGGCCGCGCAAGGAAGGGAGCAGGACATGCAGGGGCAGGCATGGCGGAAAGCGAGCCCGGCTGGCCAGGAGGAGCGGGAGAGAGAGGGGGAGAGAGAGGGGGAGAGAGAGGGGGAGAGGGAGGGGGAGAGAGAGGGGGAGAGAGTGGGGGAGTAGGGGTTGTGGTGACCCACCTCCTCGGGCCGAGACGGGGACGGCGTTTTCTCGGGCGCTTGCGTGCTGGACGCCATGGCTGCCGCTGAAACAGCTGGGCTCCAAGGCTTGAAGGCTCCAAGGCTCCAAGGGTCGAAGGCTCCAAGGCTTGCAGGCTCCAATGCTCGAAGGCTCGAAAGCTTTGCTACGGTAAGAAAACGCAACACGAGTGATTCGCTCTAGCGCGCTGGGGAAAGCTGAGGAGTGACAACGACCAAAGAAACTCGCAGGGAGCGCCAGAACGAAGCTCGTGCGGGGCGTGAAACCCGCTCGGGCGGTTCCTCCGCCGCTGCTTCCGATTCCAAATCCGAATCCAAATCCATGGGGGCAAAATTTCCGAGTGCATGCGGCGCGATGCGCCCGCGCGCGGTGCGGGGAATCGGTGGCGCCATTTGTGTCGAGCCGACTCGCATGAGCCCACGGATGCCAGCTGCCAGCTGCGACAAAGTGTGGCTGGCTGACGCGTGGACTGCGTTGATCTCAGGCCGTACTCGCTATAAGCAACCGTCAGAGAATGCATCAAGCTCTGCGTACAATCGAAATATGACATCCGCAACGTCATTGAGTGAGCTATACTTGGAAGTACCATGAGTTGTCATCGTGGAATGTCTAAGTACCCCCCCCTACCCACCTAAGAATACTACCCCATAGCACCTATAAGAACCTTGGCAGTCGGTCGCATGCTGCGTCGTAAGCCATTCACCAAGAAGAATAATACCCCATACCGTACGAGGCTCGCTTTCTTCACCCAAGCGGTGAGCAGATCAGATCCCTTCATTCGACCCAGCAGCATAGCAGATGAGGGGCTTCCTCTTCTCCTTAGCAGCAGCCTTCCTAAGATCAGCCATGGTGAACTCATGGCCCTCCTGGCAGCTCTCGAACAGATACACGTACTGCAGCCCTGAGCACGACCTCAGCAGCTCCAACAGCGCCTCGAAGTGCCGGTGCGCACACAGCCCGATCGAAAAAACCTTCAGATCCGGGCAGCACGTCGCGAGAACTTTCACCAGGTCGAGGAAATCTGCCCGGTCGTCGCGCTCGCAGAAGGGCAGGATGAGGGATTCGAGGGAGAGCCAGTGGCGGGCGGCGGACATGAGAGAGATGTAGGTGAGGCAGTGGGAGAGCGCGAAGACGTTGAGGTGTGTGATGCTGGGGTTGAGGGCGGCAAAGGCCACGAGGCCCGCGTCGGTGATGTCGGCGTTGCAGCGGATCAGCAGCGAGCGCAGCGAGGGGCAGGAGCGCCCGACCTCCTCTAAGGTCTCGTTGGTGGCCCACTGGAAAGTGAAAGCGAAGTAGGGGTCATTCGGAAAGGAGGATGGAGTGAGGGAGATGAACAGACCCAGCTCCCCACAAGTCTCGACTGAGGCCCACTGAAAAGAAGGGGGGAGGGGAGGGGGGAGAAGCAGTCGAAGGAGGATGATAGCAGCGAAGGCCACGAGGCCCGCGTCCGTGATGTCGGAGTTGTAGCGGATGAGCAGCGAGCACAGCGAGGGGCAGGAGCGACCCACCTCCTCTAGCATCTCGTTAGTGGTCCACTGGAAAGAAGGGAGGAGGAGGGGGGTTGGGGGGAAGGGCACGGGGTAACGGGGGATGAGTGTTGCAGCGGGTGTGCAGGGAGCGCATGCAAGGGGGAAGGGACGTGAGAGGGGCACGCTCCACTGACGCCTGTTTCCACCTCACCTTATTGACTACGTGCATTGAGTCCCTGCAAGCCGCAGTGACATCCCCCAGCACCCTCAGCTTCCTGCACTTGGTGGCAACCGCCTCCACCCCCACCACCGTGGCGTGCGGCCCCACATACACCTCCTCCAATCCCCCGCACCACCGCGCCACCTCCCTCAGCATGCCGTCCGTGGCGCCCAGCAGGGGCGGGCCGGCCACCCCCGGGGTCTCGATCTTGAGGTTGCCCAGGTCCAGGTAGGTGAGGAGCGGTAGAGAGGCAAAGGCGCGCTCCAGGAGACGCGGGTTGCCCTTGACGACCTGGGAGACGACCAGGCGGCGCAGGGACGAGCAGAGGGCCAGCTCCTGGGTTAGCAGCTGGGAAAGGGGTGGGAGGGGGAAGAGGGGAGGGGGGAAGAGGGGAGGGGGGAAGAGGGGAGGGGGGAAGAGGGGAGGGGGGAAGAGGGGAGGGGGGACGAGGGGAGGGGGGACGAGGGGAGGGGGGAAGAGGGGAGGGGGGAAAAGGGGAGGATGGAAGAGGGGAGGGGGGAAGAGGGGAGGGGGGAAGAGGGGAGGATGGAAGTGGGGGAGGGGGGAGGGGGGAAGAGGGGAGGGGGGAAGAGGGGAGGAAGGAAGAGGGGAGGGGGGAAGAGGGGAGGGGGAAGAGGGGAGGGGGGAAGAGGGGAGGGGGGAAGAGGGGAGGATGGAAGAGGGGAGGGGGGAAGAGGGGAGGGGGGAAGGGGGGAGGGGGAAGAGGGGAGGGGGGAAGAGAGAGAGGGGTGGTACACAGAATGGGTGGGACGCGAAGGCCCGCTCTAGCAGGCGCGGGTTGCCTTCGACAGTCTGGGAGACGACCAGGCGGTGCAGGGACGAGTAGAGGGCGAGCTCCTGGGTTAGCAGCTGGGGGGGGGAGAGGGACGGAATCAGGGGGGTGGGGCAGAGTGAGATAGGGGTTGAATAGAGAATGGCACCGAGGAGAGCGAAAGCTCTCGGAGACGGGGGTCGGCCTTGGCGGTCTGCGAGACGACCAGGCAGCGCAGGGACGAGCAGAGGGCGAGCTCCTGGGTTAGCAGCTGGGGGGGGAGCGGGGAAGGAGGGAGGCGGGGAGGGGGGGGGGAGAAAGGGGGGGGGGGTTGGAGTGGTGGGGGACGGCGGCGAGGGGGTGAGTGGAGAGGCGAGGGAGTGAGTGGAGAGGCAAGGCGGTGAGTGGAGAGGCGAGGGAGTGAGTGGAGAGGCAAGGCGGTGAGTGGAGAGGCGAGGGAGTGAGTGGAGAGGCGAGGGAGTGAGTGGAGAGGCAAGGCGGTGAGTGGAGAGGCGAGGGAGTGAGTGGAGAGGCGAGGGAGTGAGTGGAGAGGCGAGGGAGTGAGTGGAGAGGCGAGGGAGTGAGTGGAGAGGCGAGGGAGTGAGTGGAGAGGCGAGGGAGTGAGTGGAGAGGCGAGGGAGTGAGTGGAGAGGCGAGGGAGTGAGTGGAGAGGCGAGGGAGTGAGTGGAGAGGCGAGGGAGTGAGTGGAGAGGCGAGGGAGTGAGTGGAGAGGCGAGGGAGTGAGTGGGGGATGGTTGGCAGGAATCTGAGTGACCCACGCGCGCCTCACCTTCATGGAGATCTCCTTCGCCATGCCATCCACGCCAGTGCCGTTCCGCCCGCCCTCCAGAACCAGAGTCGGCTTTGGGAGTCGACTCAAAGTCAACCCCTCTGCGCCTCACCTTAATGGAAATCTCTTTCGCAATGCCATCAATACCAGTGACGTTCCGCCCTCCCTCCAGAACCAGCGACTGCAGCGTCTCACCGCACCTGTCAAAGAACCCAACGTGCACAAGCCCACCCCCACCCCCTCCTCCTCTCCCACCCCCCACCCCCTTCCCTGCACCCGCCACCCCCTCTCCCCCCCCTTCTCCCCCCCCCCTCCTCCTCCCCCTCCTCCGCCCCCCTCTTCCCCTTCCTCCATCGTATCCCAAATCTTAGGCCCGCCTCCCCCTCCTGCCCGCCCTCTGCTTGATTTGACCGATCCACTGCCCTCGCGGGAAAATTTGCTGCCCGACTTTTCTGAGCCGGGGAATCCGGGTGTAGTTACCCCGCCCGGGGTGTTGACACCAGCTGGAGTTGCCACGGACGGAGTTGAAACGGCGGGAGTTGTAACACTCGGAGTTGTAACCGAGGCACTACCACCACTGAAACTACCACTCTGCAAGTTAACCGCACCACCACCAGCAGCACCCCCTGCTGCTGCCCCCCCTCCCCCTCCCATAAACCCACCACCGCCATAGCCCATCCCCGTTTTAGGCAGGCCCTCCAGCAGGAAATGCGAGTCGACAAACTCCAGCTTCTCCCAGGGCCGCTGGTTCAGAATCCGCTTTAAATGCAATAACTCCAGCACGTGCAGCTCCCTGGCGTCGTACAGCCCGTCGGCAGAGCAGCAGCAGCGGTAGAGCGAGCAGTTGACGGAGAGGGAGGAGACGCTGGGGTAGAAGGCGAGTGGCAGGGACTCCAGGAAGCGCGACGGTTGGGAGAGGTCCAGATGGGTGACGGCCCGGCGGGAGCGTTTTTCCAGCCAGAACCAGCGGGGGGAGACCTGACGGAGGGAAAGAGGGGGCAGGAGAGAGGCGGCGGTAGAGCGAGCAGTTGACAGAGAGGGACGCCACACTGGGGTACAAGGCGAGCGGCGGGGACTCGAGAAACCAGGACGGCTGGGAGAGGTCCAGATGGGTGACAGCCCGGCGGGAGCGTTTTTCCAGCCAGAACCAGTGGGGGGAGGGAGACCTGAAGGGGAGGGTTGGGGACGGGGCAAGGTTACAGAAGCGAAATAGCGGAAGCCTAATAATTTGGTTCGGTAATCGAAACGACATTGTCATAGTAGTACGCAAGGACATCCTTATAGAATGTATAGATGGGTGACGGCCGGCGAGAGCGTTTTTCCAGCCAAAACCTACCGGGGGAGACCTGGGGGAGGGGGGAGGAGGGGAAAGGGTGTAGGGGGAAGGGAGGAGGGGGAAGGGTAGAGGGAGAAGCGTCGAGGGGGGAGGGTAAGGGGAGGACAACACAGGAGCTAAGGGGGAATGTGAAGGACATGACCGTAGTAAGAGATTTCAGTTCCATCGTTTTAAGACGCATTATTGCGAGCGTTACCAGGGCGCACGACGCTCGGTCCTTGGGCGACTCCACGCACATTAGGATCCTCAGCAGCACCGAATCCGGCACGTTGTCCAGCGACGGCGGCGCGGCCGGCACCGCGGCCGGCGACCCCGCCGCAGCCGCCGCCGCGTTATCCGCGTCCCGAAACGACCCCGTCCCGGGCCGCCCGCTCCCCCGCACTCCGCCAATCCACTTTCGGCTCCGATTGGTCAGATTTTTCAGGAAATCGTCGTGGCCGGACGATGCGGCGGAATGTGCGGCGGCCGGCGCGCCGTCGCTGTGCGCGGCGACTGCGGCGGAGATCGCCCAGTCGTCCATGGGGACGAGCCGGCCCGACGCGGGGTGCAGCACGGCCGGCACGCTCCAGCGCTTGGCGGCATTGCGGAGAGTGCGCGCGCGCGGAGGCTCCTCCTTGTCCATGGGGTTGGCGCAGGAGGGGGGTGGCGGAAGATGGGCGGAAGAAGGGCGGAAGATTGGCGGAAGATTAAGCGGGAGGTTTGTGGGGGAAGTGTGGTGAGAGACGACACGGACTTAGAGACGCGTGGTTTTCTCCGTAACTGCTGAGAGGGTGAAATGTTACCATCCAAGATACCGGATTTTCGGACTCCTAAGCACCCTCTGAACAATACGTGAACTGCGGAAAGCATGCAGCGCCTTGGTCGTTGGAAAACGACTACTAGTTTAGGGTGCTTCAAGGCGTGTTATGAGGCATTCCTGCCATAGATTCTGGTTCTCGGCAATCTCGAGGCTGGGCGTTGTGGGATGTTAGCAGGAGCAGAAGCCTGATTGGGGATTGCCGTGGTTGGCGAAGAATCGTTGCTGACGAAACCATTTCGTCAGCGTTTTACTGTCGGCTACATGATAGATATTAAAACGACTAGGACCAAACTAGAAGTAATCAAATACCACAGCTATCGTAATTGGGCAAAATGGTGCTTCTTTGATACACTGCCTCGATTGTGGCATTTATAATGCTGCAAGAACCACTTCGCGCATTAATGACACGGGAGCTGCAAAGCACAGATATTGGGGGGGAGGAGGGTGGGCGCAAGACAGAAGAGGAGAGAGTGGGTACATGAAGGCAATCTTGTCAACAATAATTGTTCACAGCACAACAGTGCACAAAAGCAAGCATGGCTTGCACGCAAAAATGCTGATAGCAAAAACAAGCCGCAAAAAAAGGGGGGAATATTACACACCTGGCTTTCCAGTGAAGAGCTCGAATTGCCGAGCTGCCTGGCCGACAAACATCTCAACGCCACTGACAGTAGCCGCTCCAGCCAGCTTCGCTTCCTTGAGCAGACGAGTTTCCATCGGGGTGTAAATGGCATCGAATACGAGGCTGCACTCCTCCAGTACAGCCTGTCAGTGGAAAGGATAACACGCGCAGGATAACATTTGTTAGTGGATGTCTGATAAGTGTGAAGTAGAGACTCATTATTGTCCCATCCAACAAGATAGGAGACAGCTAGATGAGCACCACACTACCACCAGAACGCAAGAGAACCGTATGATGAAGCATACGTACCTTGCTGACAGGAGTACCATCGACGTTCGGGTGCACGTCCACAGAAGTTGTGTTTAAGGCCATATCTGAAGTGACTCAAAACAAACTGTGGTAACTTCTCCATCGTTCCAGGCATCCCTTACCTTGCTGACAGGAGTATCATCCACGTGAAGGTGACGCCCACAGATGCCGTGTTCAGGGTCACATGCGAAGCGACGCAAAACAAGCTCTGTTAACCTGCTGACTTGCACCGTGTTAAGGGTGACTTTCTCGTACCTTGCTGACAGGAGTATCATCCACATTAGGGTGCATGCCCACTGAGGTTGTATTCGCCAGCACAGCACGCACACTCCTCCCCTTCTGCAGCTTCTGCAGCGTCACCGCCAGCTCGTCGCCATTCGCTGAGATGTCAACGGCGTCAGAAACGGACGGCAGAGGCACGGCAGTGCCGCCCACAGCCGCAGCAAGCGCCTCGGCTTTCCCATAGCTCCTGTTCGTTATAATCACATCCGCACCCCTCTCTTTGGCACCGAAGGCAAGAGCCCTCCCGGCACCCCCAGCCCCCACCACGACAAAGAGACGGCCTGCAAGGGGAGAGGAGGAGGATGCATCCCCCGCTCTGTCCCCCCCCTCTGCCTGTCTCAGCCCCTCTTCTATGGCCTCTATGGCTGCTGTGCAGTCCGTGTTGTACCCCATGCGCGTGCCGCCCTCGCCCCGTACGATGGTGTTGACTGCCCCTATGCTCTGAGGGGAGGCACATGAGGATGGCGGTATAATTGGGGAGGGGGTTCAGGTGTCAAAGATTGGCGAAGAGAAAGAGGGGGGTTTCAGCAGCACGGGTGGGGAATTATGGGGAATTATGGGGAATTATGGGAAATTATGGGGAATTATGGGGAATTGGGGGAGTACTTACTTACTGAGTGATGCATCACCTTTGTGTCACCTTCTAGACGTGACTATGGACCAACGCAGGCGCAAGTACAGTGAGTGTAAGATAATGTGATCCAAGCGAGGTCACCTTGGCAAGCGGATCCACGTCGTTGCAGCACTCCAAAGCAGCGAGCTTGTGCGGGATGGTCACGCTGGGAGGGTGGGGGACACGAGGGGGGTACGTGGGGGGCAGCATGGTCACACACGAGGGGGGTCACATTGGTGGGGGGGCAGCGTCCACGCCCCTCACACCCCACATGCCAGCCCTTGCTACAGCCCCAGCCACAGCCCTTGCTACAGCCCCAGCCACAGCCCCCTCACCTGAACCCTCTGAAGTCCGGATGATCAAACGCCTTCAAGAATTCTGCCACGTCATCCACCAGGAAGGGCACATACACGCCGTCGTACCCCATGTGCCGCAGCGCAGCGTTGTGCAGCACCGCCCCCTTGCTGTGCGCCACCGGGTTCCCTATCAGCCCAAACACCTGCGTTGTGGGGCCCACCGACGCCAGCCTATACGTGCCCGCCAGCTCAGTGACGGTTGGCTGACCTGGCGCTGACTCAGCGCCCGGGGCAATGGCCCCGAAAGTGAGGAAGGCGTTGAACTTGGGGGCGAGGAGGCGGCTGATGAGGCCCCTGGGGCCCATCACCAGGGCGATGGTGGGCAGCTGGGGAGAGAGTGCGGGGCAGGGAGGGTGGGAAGAGAGGAGGAGGGGTTAGGGGATGCCGGGGGGTTAGGGGGTTGGGTGGGGAGGGGAAGAAGACGGGGGGACAACAGCACCCACCTGTGCCTCCTTGAGTATTTGGAGCACGCACACATTTTCGGTGATATGATGTCCGTGGCACATTGGCAGTGGTGGCAAACTTGAAAATATCCGCCCCAGCTGCCACTATGCACGCCACCAGCTCCCCACTAACCCCACTATGCGCCCAGGCAAACACGCACCTGTGCCTCCTTGAGTATCTGGAACACGCACCTGTGCCTCCTTGAGTATCTGGAACACGCGTGCATTGTCAGTGATATCCATGGCAGTGGTGGCGAACTTGACAATGTCCGCCCCGGCTTCCACTATCCGAGCCACCAGCTCCCGGAGGTCCTCGAGCGGCGGCGTCACGCTGTAGTTGTGGCTCGATACAATCACACGCGTTTTAAGCACATCGCCAGCGGCAGCAGCTGCAGTGCGGCGGGGGGTGACGTGCTGCTCAATGAAGGCCGCGGCGACCTGGGGAGGGGAGGTTCAATAAGGACAGAAAGGGGTTCGGGGAGCAAGAGAAGCAAGAGACGCAGGAGACGCAGGAGACGTGAGGTTGAAGGGCGTCCTTCTTTAGTGACGACTCAAACTCTTCACTCGTCACTAACCGCAGGCCACAAAAAAAAAAAAAAAACTCCATTCCCCGCAATCAATCTACACCCTGTACGCGTTATCACCTGCAGCTCGACGTCGATGAACTCGGCGCCCATCTCCATGGCCATCACCAGCACCTGCTGCCGCCTCGCCTCGTCGGGGTCGGAATACTTGCCGCCCTCCCACGTGGGGCTGGATGGGTTGGGTGGTAGGGGAGGGGTAGAGAGTGAGGGAGGGAGGGAGAGAGAGAGAGCGAGGGAGGGAGAGAGAGAGAGCGAGGGAGGGAGAGAGAGAGAGCGAGGGAGGGAGAGAGAGAGAGCGAGAGAGCATGAGGAGGCATGAGGGGAGAAAGCAAGGTCCCGAAAGCGTCTTCGCCTCGTCCGCGTCGGTGTACTTGCTGCCCTCCCACGTGGGGCTGGATGGGGGCAAACGGGGCGAACGACAGGGAGGAGGGGAGGAGGGGAGGAGGGGAGGAGGGGAGGAGGGGAGGAGGGGAGGAGGGAGCCCTAAGAGAGAACAGTAAGCGGGAAGCGGACATGGGGGAGCGGACATGGGGGAAAAAGAGAGGAGGGAGGTAAGGGGAGGGATGATTGCAGAGTCGAAGACTTATGGTGTGTGACAGCATGATGTCAGCATTCCAGCAGCACGACGTCATCATAATGTCAGCATACCGGCATGTGACAATAACGGGCAGGCAGCGGTCGTTTAAGAGCGCAGGGAGGTCAACACTTGGGTCAAACTCGGTCAAATGGTCAACCCTTAGTTCCGCCGTGTCCGCCCCCGCCGCTTTCGCCTGCGCCATCTGCTCGCGCATTCCCCCCACCGTCGTTGCGGTCACCGCCGCGCAGATCCTGCACCTGCTGCGCGTATCTGCGTCACCGGCGGACGCGCTGACGTCAGTCGCCGGAGCTGCCACGTCAGCCATGGTTCCTGCTGACGCGGATGAGACGATGGCCGTGGATGCTCGACACGCGGCGGATCGCTGAGGAGTAACGGACGAGCGGACGGCGATTAAAGGGCACAAGGCGGCGCGGGATGCGGAAGAAAGGGAGGGCTTTGTGACGTTGGCGGGGGAGACAGAGGGAGGCGCGAGGGAGGGGAGGAGCGCCGTGCTGAGCTGAAACGCAACAGCCATTGGGGAAAGAGAGACAATACACCCTGAAATCCCTAACGATATACTGTTGCTACCTGCGTGCCTGCTCGCTTGCTGCTGCTTGCTGCCTGCTTCCTTGGCTAACGACGAAATGTAACCCTAGAACGCTAGCACAAGTAGAGTGGAGAGGGCTGCTTGCAGCAGGCGTGAAGGAGAAAAGAACAGAAAGACTGGCGACAAATGAGGCAAGTACGGTGTAAAGTGCAGCCCATAATTCAGATTTTGCCACACACTTGTTACAATTCGAGGGCTTTGTTCGCGAGCCCTTGCGAAAGTGCCAACTGACATGACTTCGTGCGAGTCATGCTCGAAGAGGAATTCTGGTTTGGCGAAAACTCGCTCTCCAGCAGGTCTGGTAACAAATAGAACAGGTTGGCTCAACCGCACCCTGTGGCATTTCGGTTGCGAACAATGAGATTTCGTCAAAGCTGTGCTCTCGCTCTTCCATATTGTTCTGTGATTCGCCAATTTACGAGTTCTTCCTGCATAATCTGGATGGAAGTGTTTCCATACTCCCACCACCATTACACCATCAGGTCACACGCACTCATAGCTCGTGCCCTGTCGCGATGACATCTCTCGTAGGCTACGATTACGATTCGGACGATTCTGATAAGGGGGAGCTCGGCGCGCAGGAACTAGCGGAAGCACTGGCTCAGGCTGGTCCGCCACAGCGCGCCGAGTCAGGGAGAGCTGCAGCAGCTGAAGCCGGAAGTTCCGCGAAACCTTCTGTGGGTCAAATAGAATCCCGTCAGCTTCTATCTCCTGATAGATCGTCACTTCAAAACGAATCTGACCAAGGGAAATCCCCCTCGCAACGCTCCGTTAAGCCTTCGTTGGGAACACACGCGAAGCCAAATCCACTGATGCAGCAGCAGCAGCCTGCAGACCAGCCATCCCGGGTGATTCTACCCAGTGCGGCGGATCTCTTAGGAGATTCCCCCGATAGTCTCAGCTTCGCTATAGGAACAGTCGGGAGAGGGGGACCGAGTGGGGGATTGCAAGGACCAGCAGGAAATTTGGTCGAAGCTTCCAGGAAGCGCACTGAGCCCAACCCTAATATGCTGCTGCCCAAGCCTCCGTTGAAGGCTCTGAAGGGAGGCTCGGGAGCAGGAGTAGGAGCAGGAGCAGGAGCAGGAGGAAGGGGTGGAAGAGGAGGAAGAGGAGGAGGGTTGGGTGCATCAGCAGATTCGTTCTTGCCACCCCAACTTCGAGGCCGGTTAGTGTTAGCGTGTGCAACCAACACTCATCACTTGTATCACTCTGGTGCCTTTGTTGTTCCTGCTTGATCACACTTCCGCTCTCGTTCTGGAATCCTTCCATGCGTGCATTTCTTCTTGATCGCAACACGTCTCACGCGTCGTCCTCTGCATGGCACCTCCACATTTCCATGCTTCTCACACACATACCCCCCCCCTCACATCCACCAACCCCCCCATCTTCCCACCCAATCACTCCCTTGTGCATCTCCCAGCTCCAACGTGGCAACTGAGGATTTGGACCGCATATTCTCCAAGAAGGGAAAACATAAACAATAGCCAAGTTGCGCTATGACATGAGAACATTCTTTTTCGCTAGCAGATATCCCTGTAATTAGGTTCCTTCTTTCCTGCAATGAAACTGATGGTTTGACTGCTTTCTTGTAATTATTTTTTCTTAATATGGTGGTTGGTTGTACACTAATATGTTGGCTGGGGAAGAAATCTATTGTTTGGACAGACAGTTTGATTCGCAGTGTACACTCGCACGTGACTGCTCGTTATCTAAAAATTTCGCGAAGCTGTCAACTACGAGCTGAGCACACCAGCGAAGTCAGCGCACATCTTCACAGAATAACTCGAGAGCAGTTCTTGGATCACTTACCTCCTTTCTCTAGCTCTTCAGTTCCCCTTCTAGCTTTCATCGCATAGCTCTTAGCGTTGAATCAACGTCCTATCTCCACAGATCGGGGAGAGCAGATTCTATCTCAGGCCTTCCTTACTGGATCTTGGGCGGTAGACTGTAACCAAGCGCCATGTATTCCCAAACAGGGTGAGTCAGTACCGTCCCTTTGTTATTATCCGCTCTTTGTAGATGATGTGATCAGAATCTTCTACCGGTTCGTATGGCCTTATTTTATCGCGTAAGACTTATTTCTTTCGGGGTTCCCTGGGTCTACCTTTGCCGGATTCGGTTCCTGGGGGGCGGTTTGGGGGTTAAGGTTCATGGCCGGATCGAGGGAAGGGAAGGGAACGAGCAGAAAAGGGAGGAGAGTGGGTGGGAGGGGGGAGGGGGAGGGGGAGGGGGGGAAAGAGGGCAGGGAATGAAAGGAAGGGGGATGAGGGAAGGGAGTGGGTGGAAGGGGGATGAGGGAAGGGAGTGGAAGGGAAGGGAAGGGCATGGGGTTTGTTTCGGACACGCGGTTTGTTCTCTCTGCGTAGTTCCGCTTCTTGTTCGCGTGTCCCGATCGGAGTCGTTGTCAAGAGTAACGGATGACAAAACCGTCGATTATCTCCCGCCTGTTCCTCAGCTATTCTCGTGTTTCTTCGTTTCCTCACCCTTTTGTCGAGATGCATTTGACCGTCCACCCATGCCCCTTTTCGTACGTAGGCAGTTCGCTTCGCACGCTGTTACATAGGGTATTAAAACCGCTGGTTTTAGGACCCTTCTAATCTCATCTAGACTCGTTTTGGGTGAACGCTATGGGGGTTTGGGTTGGGAAAGCAGGTTCGGCAATATGCCAGGAGGTGTGGGTGGTGGTGCGGGAGGCATGTCCGGCTTCGGGGGAGGTTTGGGTGGTGCGGCAGCTTCGGGCGGTGTTGGTTCAGGCGGTTTCGGTCAGGGTGGTGCTGGTGGTGGTCTGCCTTCGGGAGGTGCTGGTCCGGGTGCTACTGGGGGCGGTGCTCCTGGGACGGGTGGTCCTCCGGGTGTTGGTGGCGCGGGTTCGATTCCCGCTGGCGGCGTTGGCGCGGCCGCGGGTTTCCCTGCGGGCGCGCAAGGCATGGGCGGAATGGGCGCAGCGGACGCGGCTGCGCTTGCCAACATGAACCTCATGATGATGGCGGGGATGGGGGGAATGGGCGCAATGGGGGGAATGGGGGGAATGGGGGGAATGGGCGCAATGGGCGGCATGCCAGGACTGGGGGGGATGGGGGGAATGGCGGGGATGGGAAGCATGGGCGGAATGGGGGGGATGGGAATGGGCGGAATGGGGGGCCCGGGGGGGGCGATGATGGGCGCGGGCGGGATGGGGATGATGGGCGGGGGACCGGGGGCTGGGATGGGGGGCGCGGGGATGGGCGGAAGGGCAGGTGCGCGGCAGATCCCCGTGGTGAAGCTGCGCGGGCTGCCGTTCCGCGTGGAGGAGGCGGACGTGGCGGAGTTCTTCGCGGGGCTGGAGGTGGTGGACGTGCTCTTCGTGCGCAAGGAGCAACGGCTGGTGGGGGAAGCCTATGTCCTATTCGGCTCGACCCTGCACTCGGAACTGGCGTTACAGGTGGGTGGGTAGTGGAAGGCACATGGGAGGGGACGGGCTCTTCGCGGGGCTGGAAGTGGCGGACGTCCTCGTGGTGCGCAAGGAGCAGCGCCTGGTGGGGGAGGCGTATGTCTTGTTCGGCTGGACCCTGCAGTCAGAGCTGGCCCTGCAGGTTTTGAGGCGCCTCAAAACGAGCTGACTTTTGAGTCGACTAAAAAACCCTGCAGGTTTTGAGGCGCCTCAAAACTGCAGTCAGAGCTGGCACTGCCGGTGGAAAGCACATGAGAGGGGTTCTTTGGTGGAGCTGGTTGACATTCTGCTGGTGCGCAAGGAGCAGTGCCTGGTGGGGGGGGAGTACGTGCTGCTCGGGTCTACGCGGCACTCGGAGCTGGCCCTGCAGGTAGGTGGGTGCTGTTTGGCTCCACTTTCCACTGCTGGTGGGTGAGGGGAGTAGCTGCTCTGGGGCGGTGATGCGGGGGAGAGGGGGCGGGCGGGATGGGGATGATGGGCGCGGGTGGATCCATCCTCCACGTGCAGCAGCGCAACAAGATGCACATGCGGGGGGAAGGGGGGGCGGGAGGGATGGGGACGATGGCCGGCGGTACGTACAGGGTGTTCCGCGAAGAGAAGCGGACCTCGTTATTCGACAAAAAGTGCCAATTCACCCTCCCCCCCTCCCCCGCCCCCCCTTCCTTCCCCCAACCCCCGCTTCCATTCCCCTTCCCCTGCTTCTTCCCCACCCACCCCACCCCCCACCACTCGCAGCGCAACACGATGCACATGGGGCGGCGGTACATTGAGGTGTTCCGCGCCAAGAAGCCCCTCTGTTCACTCACCAATAATTGTCTACTCCTTCCCCCTTCCCTGCCCGGCCTCCGCTCCCCCCCCCTCTCTCTCCCCCCCCAACCCCCCCGCATGCAGCGCAACAAGATGCACATGGGGCGGCGGTACATCGAGGTGTTCCGCGCCAAGAAGGCGGAGTACTACAACGCCATAGCTAATGAGGTGGCGCAAGATGGCGGGTCGTACCAAGGCCATGGGGGACAAGGTGAGCACGTCTCCTGGCTTACAGTCTAGCCAAGAGTCCTGCCGTCTGAGGCCACAACGCCATCGCCAACGAGGTGGCTCAAGATGGCGAGTCGTACCAAGACCATCGCAGACCCCCCCCATGCACTCTCCCCCCATGCGTCCCCCCCCATGCATCCCCTCCCCACCCATGCATCCCCTCCCCCCCATGCATCCCCCCCCCCTGCATCCCCCCCCCTATGTATCCCCTCCCATGCATCCCCCCCCATGCATCCTTCCCCCTCATGCATCCCCCATCTAGAGTCCCTTCTCTAGAGTGCCGCTGTGTGGAGTCCCGCCGTCGTTGCGTGCCGCTTCCTTGAGTTCCCTTCTTTGTGGGACGTCTGACTCCGTCCTTCCCCCTCCTCCCTCCCGCCTCTCCCCCCCTCCTCCCGTATTCCGTCCCGTTTCTTCCCGTCCCCACCTGTCGCTCCGTCTGCAGACGATAGAGGGGGGCGCGGCGAGCGGGGGTATGGGGGGGAGGGCATGGGGGGGCATGGCCATGCGCATGGGGGGTATGGGGGGGCGGAGGGGGGGGAGGCGGGCGAGGGGGCGAGGGGGGGATAGGGCCAGCCGCTCGGGATTCAAGCATAGTGAAGATGAGAGGACTGCCGTTCTCAGCCACTACCAAGGTGAGATGACGTGGGGGGGAGGAGGGGGAGAGAGGGGGGTGGGGGGGGGATGAGGCGCCTTATTATGACGGGAGATTACCTGCTGGCAGATGCAGCCATCCACATCATCACCAAGTCCATCGGGCGCCTCACCGGGGAGGCCTTTGCGGAGTTAGGACCAGCGGCATGGGATTCAAGCATAGTGAAGATGAGGGGACTGCCGTTCTCAGCCACTACCAAGGTGAGACTTTAGGGGAGAGGGAGGGGGGGGTTGGGGGTTGCAGAACTTCCGCCCAGAGCTCAGCTTGAAGGAGCATTGGGGCAGCAGATCTTTCCCTGGTGGGGGATGGGATTCGTCCACCAGCTTCACGTGGGGGATGGGATTCGTCCACCAGCTTCACGTGGGGGATGGGATTCGTCCACCAGCTTCACGTGGGGGATGGGATTCGTCCACCAGCTTCACGTGGGGGATGGGATTCGTCCACCAGCTTCACGTGGGGGATGGGATTCGTCCACCAGCTTCACGTGGGGGATGGGATTCGTCCACCAGCTTCACGTGGGGGATGGGATTCGTCCACCAGCTTCACGTGGGGGATGGGATTCGTCCACCAGCTTCACGTGGGGGATGGGATTCGTCCACCAGCTTCACGTGGGGGATGGGATTCGTCCACCAGCTTCACGTGGGGGATGGGATTCGTCCACCAGCTTCACGTGGGGGATGGTCCATCAGCTCGGGAGCATTGTGAAGCCAAGGAGACTGCCATTCTCTGGCACTACCAAGGTGATACTCCAGGGGTGTGGTAGTGCTCTTCTGGACATAGCTTATTTGGAAGAAGCATCGAGGGGGTATGGGGACAGGACCTGCCATTAGGGAGTCAAGCATTGGGAAGGTGAGAGGCCGGCGGCCACTGAGGAGAATGGAAGTGGGGGGTTGTTGTTCTGAGCGTTGTTCTGAGCCTTGTTGTGAGGCGCCTTGTAACGGAGATGAGCGTTGCGGCGACTGCTGCGCACAAGAATCGTTCTGGCTCGCTCCCACAGCCGAGGCAAAAGCTCAGAGCACACCCTGGCGGACGCAGCTGTGCACGCCATCACCGGCAGGCAGCTGTGCACGCCATCACCGCCAGGCAGCTGTGCACGCCATCACCGGCAGGCAGCTGTGCACGCCATCACCGGCAGGCAGCTGTGCACGCCATCACCGGCAGGCAGCTGTGCACGCCATCACCGGCAGGCAGCTGTGCACGCCATCACCGGCAGGCAGCTGTGCACGCCATCACCGGCAGGCAGCTGTGCACGCCATCACCGCAGCAGCTGTGCACGCCATCACCGGCAGGCAGCTGTGCACGCCATCACCGGCAGGCAGCTGTGCACGCCACGCCATCACCGGCAGGCAGCTGTGCACGCCATCACCGGCAGGCAGCTGTGCACGCCATCACCGGCAGGCAGCTGTGCACGCCATCACCGGCAGGCAGCTGTGCACGCCATCACCGGCAGGCAGCTGTGCACGCCATCACCGGCAGGCAGCTGTGCACGCCATCACCGGCAGGCAGCTGTGCACGCCATCACCGGCAGGCAGCTGTGCACGCCATCACCGGCAGGCAGCTGTGCACGCCATCACCGGCAGGCAGCTGTGCACGCCATCACCGGCAGGCAGCTGTGCACGCCATCACCGGCAGGCAGCTGTGCACGCCATCACCGCAGGCAGCTGTGCACGCCATCACCGGCAGGCAGCTGTGCACGCCATCACCGGCAGGCAGCTGTGCACGCCATCACCGGCCCGGCAGGCAGCTGTGCACGCCATCACCGGCAGGCAGCTGTGCACGCCATCACCGGCAGGCAGCTGTGCACGCCATCACCGGCAGGCAGCTGTGCACGCCATCACCGGCAGGCAGCTGTGCACGCCATCACCGGCAGGCAGCTGTGCACGCCACCCCCCGTCACCCATCCCCGGCGGCAGCTGCACGCCACACCGGCAGGCAGCTGTGCACGCCATCACCGGCAGGCAGCTGTGCACGCCATCACCGGCAGGCAGCTGTGCACGCCATCACCGGCAGGCAGCTGTGCACGCCATCACCGGCAGGCAGCTGTGCACGCCATCACCGGCAGGCAGCTGTGCACGCCATCACCGGCAGGCAGCTGTGCACGCCATCACCGGCAGGCAAGGCAGCTGTGCACGCCATCACCGGCAGGCAGCTGTGCACGCCATCACCGGCAGGCAGCTGTGCACCCACCGCAGCAGCTGGCACGCCATCACCGGCAGGCAGCTGTGCACGCCATCACCGGCAGGCAGCTGTGCACGCCATCACCGGCAGGCAGCTGTGCACGCCATCACCGGCAGGCAGCTGTGCACGCCATCACCGGCAGGCAGCTGTGCACGCCATCACCGGCAGGCAGCTGTGCACGCCATCACCGGCAGGCAGCTGTGCACGCCATCACCGGCAGGCAGCTGTGCACGCCATCACCGGCAGGCAGCTGTGCACGCCATCACCGGCAGGCAGCTGTGCACGCCATCACCGGCAGGCAGCTGTGCACGCCATCACCGGCAGGCAGCTGTGCACGCCATCACCGGCAGGCAGCTGTGCACGCCATCACCGGCAGGCTGCTGTGCACGCCATCACCGGCAGGCAGCTGTGCACGCCATCACCGGCAGGCAGCTGTGCACGCCATCACCGGCAGGCAGCTGTGCACGCCATCACCGGCAGGCAGCTGTGCACGCCATCACCGGCAGGCAGCTGTGCACGCCATCCCCCCGCCCCCCCCCGCCCCATCACCGGCAGGCAGCTGTGCACGCCATCACCGGCAGGCAGCTGTGCACGCCATCACCGGCAGGCTGCTGTGCACGCCATCACCGGCAGGCAGCTGTGCACGCCATCACCGGCAGGCTGCTGTGCACGCCATCACCGGCAGGCAGCTGTGCACGCCATCACCGGCAGGCTGCTGCCCTTGGCCGCTTCCCGTGTCCCCCCCTTCCCCCCCTCGCAGGACATCCTCCAACTCTTCGGATCATCATCATGGGGGGCCCTTTGCAGAGCTCCTTTCGGAGTGATTCAATGTCTGTCTGCCCCCCCTCCCCCCCCCCCCTCCCCCTCGCAGGACATTCTTGAGTTCTTCGGAGAGTACCCCCTGGCAGATGCAGCCATCCACATCATCACCAACTCCATCGGGCGCCTCACCGGGGAGGCCTTTGTGGAGTTTGGGTCGGTGGAGGAGGCTCGGGCGGCGCTGGGGAAGGATCGGGAGCGCATGGGCACGAGGTACATCGAGCTGTACCTGTCGTCGAGGGATGACGCAACGAGAATCGCCACCCGGGCGAGCACGCAGAGATAGGGGGGAGGCAGTGGGAGAGGGGGGGGGGGGGGGAGGGGGGAGAGAGGGGGAAGGAGAAAGGGGGATTTGTGGGGAGAAGAGGGGGTCTGTATGGGGAGAAGGGCGGCGCTGGGCATGGACTTCTGGGAGCGCATGGGGACGAGGTGCATTGATCTGTACCACCGCTCCCTATCTGGGCTAAGGAACGGGCGCACATGGGCACTGAAAGAATTACAGGCACGAGGTACACTCAGCTTGATTTTCCTTGGAGGGATGATGCGACGAGGACTGGCACTAGGGCGAGCACGCAGAGATAAGGGGGAAAGCACAGTTCCCTGTGTGGTAGGAAGTATGGGTGGTGTAGGCTGGCCTAATGAGCTGTGTAGGTAAAGTATGAATGGTAGCTAGTAGCTACTCTTATATTGATGGCTTATAGATTGTCAGCTTCAGATCAGACACCGCATGCAACACCTAAGAACCTACGTAGAAGGGAAACAACTAGGCATCCCTGCCACACCACCCGCCCAATCCCCTCGCTATGACTTTGCATCCCAACGACTTGAATCCAATGCTATTCCTTTCCTTCCTATGCCAACAGCAGTGCCAGACACATCAGTGTGCCATTCCCAGCAGCAGCAAGCACAGAAATCCCCACCTCCATGTTGGAACATGGCCCTATCCACCATGGCACACGTGCCTCCCACCCCCCAACCTTCACAGGCCAGAGGGCTTTCCAGCAGCTTCCAGGAAAGCAGCAGCACCACTCCCGAGGAAAGAAGCAGCGTCACTCCCGAGGCCAGCAGGCATGGGGTTCAGCGCAGCAGGTTTGTTGCCGAGCATGGTACTGATCAAAGCGCTGCCGGCAAAAGCGCTTCCGGCAAAAGCGTTGCCGGCAAAAGTGTTACTTAGTGCACCAGCACCAGCACCAGCAAGAATGTACCTCTCGAGCTCCCCCACGCGTCGCTCCAGCGCATCCACGTACTGCACGGCTCTATCCAGCATGGCGCACGTGTCCCCCCGCCCCTTCACCCTCACCCTCAGCCGCTGCAGCCCCTCACTTATCCTCTCCCTCCTCCGCCGCTCCGCCATGCTCCGGCTCTTGATTCTCTGGCTCGGTGCCGAACCACTCCTCGAGGCTCGGCACCGTGGCAGCCACTCGTTGTCGACCCGATCATCTGTGTAGTCTAGCCCAGCCATGTCAGCAGCCAAGTCGGCAGGCACTTCACCATTGCTGCTGCTGGTCGTTGCTGCACCCTCTGAGCCCCCATTTCCATGCCACTGTGCCATGGGCTGCCGCTCCTTTCGCTCTTCCTCCCGCTGCTGCTGCTGCTGCTGCTGCTGCTGCGGTTGCTCCTCCTCCTGCTCTTCCTGCTCTTCCTGCTCTTCCTGCAACAGTCTCTGCTGCATCCCCCCTGTGGCCAGGCCGCCCTTCAAGAAACGTCTGGAAGCCATACGCTCCGCTCCCTCTTGCTCAGCCCGCTCAAAAGCAGCCACGCCCACGGCTTTTACTGAAGGCGCGGCCACCACCGCCCCACTGGGCGACATTAGAAAGCATGGCACGAGTGGGGATGTGGTCTTGATTGGGGTTACGCCAAGCCCGCTCCGGCTGTGTTTTCGAGCCGTCTGAGGGGTTGACTCTAGTGGGGATTCTGTCGCTGTTGGGGTCAGGCCAAGCAAGCTGCGGTTGGTGCAAGCATCCGCGATGCACACGCTGTCATCTCCCTTGCCGGCAACTGCAGCACTGTCACTACAATCCTCTGTACGTTTCCTCTTCTTCCCACCATCACTCGTTGCACCACCAGCATTGGTGGCACCGCCACTCTTAACACTGCTGATGCCACCACCCAAGGGGGCGGAGTTGCCCCCCCAGCTCTTCCGCTCGTGCCCTTGCAGGAAGGGGTCGGGACCCCAGTCAGCGCTGCCACTCCTTGCTCCATCTCTTCCCCCCATGCGCCCCCACGCCCCTCCACCATGAGCCAATCGCAGAGCGCCACCCGGACCGTACTTTGGAGCGTAGCGGAAGGCAAGGGTATTCTCCAGAAGCCTTGCCGATACTCCCCCTGGTGGTAGAGCCGAGTGGGCTGAGTCTTGCTGCTCCACTTTGCTTTCTTCCTGCTGCTGTGGCTGTGGCTGTGACTTCTGCTGCTGCTTGTGCGCCTGCAGCGGCAGCAGCTGCTGCTGCTGCTTTTGTTCCAGCGGTGTCGGGGCGTCCTCTGGCTTCTCTTCAACGTCCAGCACCATCTGCTGCTGCTGCTGTTGAGGATCTTGCTGCAGTTTCTGCAGTGGCTTCTGTTGCTGCTGCGGCTGCTGTGGCTGCCGCTTTCTTGGGTTCTGCTGCTGCCGCTTCTTCTCCTGCTTCTCTTCGACCTCTTTGAGTGCCTGCAGCAGCGCCATCAGCTGCTGCCTCTCCTCCTCGCTCCCCCCCCCCATCTGCAGCCGTGCTGCCACCTCACTCGACAGCACCGCCTCTTCTGCCTCTGCCGCTGCTGCCGCTGCTGCTGCTGCCGATACTCGCAACAGCTCGCCACGTGCAGTGGACTTGTCCTCGTTATAGTCAAACCCCACCTCGTTGATTACACTTGTGAAACCCTTGTCAGATACACGGCCAAGCTTGTTATTATCCCCACTGTCCACTGGGCACGGCTCCTGCTGTGTCACGGAACGGGCGAGCTGCGATAGCCCGGCCAGCATCCTCTGTATGTGCGCCTCCTGGCCTGAGCCGAGCTCTGGAAATGCCCCCTTCGGGGAGTCAGAGGCCAGAGGCTCAGGCGTACTGGTTCCCATTCGGGCGTTTGGGCAGTGGAGGCTCAGAGGGAGAATCGCAGTGGTGCACCCAGCAGTTGGCTGGCCACTTCCCTGCTGCCCAAAAAAGGAGGGTGGGAGCGTGTTGACTGCTGGCCGAACATTTCCGTGCTGCCCGGATAAGGAGGGCAAAAGCGCGTTGAAGTGTGCACTGGAAAGGGGGGACGGGAGGTCGTCCAAGGCCAAGAATGCGGCAAACGAATCCGAAGTCGTGCCGTTTGTAGCATTGTCCGCGGCCATAGCCAGTGGCTTCTGGAGTGCCGAGGCAGAAGGCAAGCAGCAACGGTATTTGGTAGGACTTAGTACGCACCGGCGCTGTGTGGAGGAGACTTTTGAGTCGACTCAAAAGCAGCAACGGTATTTGCCACGACTTAGTAGGCACTGGCGCTGTGTGGAGGATTAACAGGTAAGAAGGCCTTGCGGCGATAATCAGCTGCTAGCTTGGGCAGTCAGGGTTAGGGAAACGGGCAGTGAGAAGCATCACTGACTATCGGTCCGAAGTGGCATACCGAAGGTTCCAACTGTTGTGCCACAACTGGCTTCTTTTTCATCCGGGGAGGGCCTGAGAGAAGCAGCTTTCGCCTTAAGGTCGGTCTAACTCCGGGGAGAGTGTGAGACAATCTAAGAGGGTCTTTGGAAGTGCTAGGACAGTGTGAGAGAGCATCAAGCGAGCTTTGGATGCTGAGAGGACGCATGACGATGGAAACAGAGAGGACGGCCCGGGCTTTCATAGTTACCAGCTCATCATAGTGTGGGCCGGGGGGAGGACCCGGGCTCTCAAGGACGTGAACGGGCTCTTGGTGTGTAAGGCCCCTGATACTGTGGGTTGGGGAGATATGGGATAGATTGAACGGACTCCTGATATGGAGGGACCCAAGATACGCCGCAGCATAATCGCGGATTGCATGATAGGATGCTCGCTCAACCATCGGCGGATGCTCACTCAATCGTGGGATGCGCGCTCAACCGTCGGGAGCTCTCTCAATCATCCGATGCGCGCTCAATCGTGGGCCGGTGTGATTGTGGCGGCGGGCGGTTCTTGATAGAAATCTCAAGAACCAACTCATCCAGATCGCCCCAGCTTCTGCCTCTCAGCGACTGCGGCGAAGATACGCGAAGAATAGCCGCTATCGCTCGAGGGATCGGATACTAGTTAGCGCAGAGGCAATTCGGGGCCCCTCGCAGGGGTTAGTAGGGTGGAAGGCAGAGGCAGAGGCTGGGGCTGAGGGTGCCACTCCAACCCACCCCAACCGCTGTGGAATGCAGCGGCACTTTGCGGGGCCAAGCCCCACAGCGGCACGTGGAGGCATCGTCGTGGGAGGTCCCACAGTTAACTGTCGTGCGACTGGCTGACGACGCCTGCGAGGCACGACAAACGCCGCAAGGCGGCACCGCAATGCCGCATTGCCAATTTGGCAGGCAAGGCAACGCCAGGCTTCGCTGACGCTCGCTGACTCTCGCGAGGTGCTTGTCCCCCTTCGTGCACACACCAGGCCTAGAAGTAGCACGAATGCTTCCGCCTTGCCGTGTGTGACCGAGCACGCAACGCAAAGCAGGGTTCGAGGCGAAACGCCTTCTTGCCACATGCCATGCTGCCAGCACGGAAGGCGCAGGGGACGGTCCCTTCCGTGTGCAGTGCGCGCAGGCGGTACTGTCACGGAACAGTGCTCAAGTCGCAAAATCCGAGGAGGTAGGAGGAATACAAGGAATCGGCTGCATACCGGACAGGCACGTGAAACGGAAAAGAATGGCACGTGAACGGGAAGGGGAAAAGAAATCCATTGCACCTAGGCAGGCACCTAGCCTGTACTGCTCGATTCTGGCTGGACACGCCGAACTCGTGGTCTGGTGCGAGTCCATGGAGGGGCATGGGGGCCGGTCAGGCACGCCGTTGCGATGCGATGCGACACCTAGGATTCGTCGTCGTTTGTCGCTTGATTTGACTAAAAAACATATCGAGTTCGGTAATGCGGTTGTAAAGCGACGCGGCTTTGTAGCTTGATGCGCCGCAGAGAATACGTGAGCAGAGCGGCACGGCTTGGCCCCGAGCAGGTCTAGAATAGATTCTACGATCTGTAATTCCAGATTATTCGTAAAACCTAAAATATATTGTAAAATCTTTCCTGCGATGTCGACTGTTTGCAGGACGACAGATACGCAACAGGCACCGACAGAAAAAAAATATCCCAAAGAAATCTACCCTACTCCTGCTTTTCATGGCCCCTGACCTGACCATCCAAGGGCAGGACAGAAAGCACGTAACGAAGAGGGAAGAGGGCGAGAGGGAGGGGGGGCGCAGCTGGGGCGGGGGGAGGAGGACGACACGACACAGGCTGCGGTGGGGATTCGCTGCTTTTCGTGCTATGGCGGTGGAAAGTAGGTGGATCCAAGAACCACTGTGCACACTAATCTTGGTTTGGTTTGGTTAGGGGGGTAGGTTGAACTGCACGACAGCACGGAGTAACGTCGAGTCACCGCTTCCGAACGCACGGACACCTTCTCAATCGTGCGAAAACGCACGGTACCGCGTTGCGACGTCAAGTGACGTCATTTTCCTTAGAGGTGTTAGTTATTCGCCATGTGCTCGTTCACGTGCTTCCAGCTGGACTCGAAAACTCGTTACAAGAGAGCACTGCCCACATTGAACGGAACTTACTGTATGCACTTTAAAGCAGGGCTGTGTAGTGCATACACAGAGAAAGAAGAGAACCCACATAAGTCTCTCTGCTCATGGCTTTGCATGGGACAGGAGTAACACCAGTGGCAAATGGATGTGGTTAGATCAAAGTTACGGTACGCTTAAATGGAAATGTAGTGGTAGGCACTTGCAGTTCTTCGTGTCGTGAAGGTAGGATAGCTAGGACACCATGACTATGGCGGCGTGGTTTAGCTAGGAGGTAGACGAGAATGTCGAGAGAGAAGGGATTTTGAAATAGAAGAGAATCAGGTACAAGAAGGGGAGTTATCCGCTCTACAGTAGGATGCAGTAGCACAACTATCTGTTGTGATATAATTAGTACTTAGCATTTCTGTAAGTCGATTAAGTGTAGTTAGTGTCGAATCTTACTGTAGAACATAAGTCCGTAGGATGACGTCAGCAAATAGCGCTCGTCATAGGACAGTCGTTTCAGTCACACGAACAGTCGCACCTCTTCAATATCTAGGGCGCATAGCGCGATAGTGACGAACAGGTACATTAGCGAATAGGTACTTTTCGTAGAACTATAAATCTCTGTCAGGTCTTTTCGTTATTAAATTTGATTACCCACAAGTTCACATACTCAGGTTATTCAACCTTGACTATTACATTTTACAAGACTTCCGCTGTCTTACTAGTCTACCATTCCAACAAAGATCCTGGACCAACACTTGAGGATTTGCCAAGTGTTCGTGTTTATAGTTTTATACTTAGTCTACTACAACACCAGACGATTTACTTCATGGTATGAGAGCTATCTGGAATTAAGACTACCGTCAACTATGACTGGTTCATCACTAGCACCGTCTGCCGGATCAGTTACCGGAACTACAGGAGCACATGCCTCCACCACCGCCGCTGGTCTCTCAGCCTCTGGGCACTTTCCACCAGCCTACGCTAACATCGGTATGCAAAATCCGCCTTCTGTGAATACTCCAGGTGCTCCATCGACTGCACCTGCAACGCAGCAGCAACAATCACAGACAACAGCACAGCAGCAAGCGTCAGTACAACCACCATTTTCAACGCAATCGATTTCATCTGCGTTTAGTGGAATGAGCCTTGACGGCTCAAGTTACATGCGTGGAGCTACAGCTCCAAATACCGGTTCGTTCGCTTTCTCACATTTCGTACAGCAACCGCAGTCGCAGCAGTTTCAGCACCCCTTTTATGTTTTCGGTCGTTCCCCTGCTCAGCAACAACAACAGCAGCATCAGCAACCACAGCAAGTACAGCAGCAGCAACAGCAACAGCAACAACAGCAACAGCCAGGCATTGTTTTTCAGCCTCCAAATTTACTTAACAATACTCAGATCAAGACAACCGTACATTTTAATGGTGTTGACTTCTACTCCTGGAGCTTTGAGTTTGAGCTTCTGGCGCAGTCCGCTGGGCTATGGCCGTTCTTCACTGGCGAATTTACATATCCTGTAGTGGGAACACAACTGGAGCAGCAGAGTTTTTTGCATGCCTCTCTCGGGGCGTATACAGTTCTTGTCCGAAACTTGTCGCCGAAGGAGCAGCTCGGCGTTCGATCATTTCACTCAAGTTTTACACCAGCCGAAACTGCATGGAATCATCTGAAAGGGGTATACATGGCAAAGGATACAATAACAGTGAGTAAAATCCTGTCGCAGCTGACAAGTGTGCAGATGATGACAAACGAAAACGTCATGGACTACGTTAACCGTGTCCGTACACTACGTGATCAACTGGAGAAAAGTGGGGGATACTTCCCTCGTGAGATGTATCTCACGGTCCTTCTGGCTGGTCTTGGACCCGAATGGCGACAGACGCGCGCCTTCCTGCGCATGAATCCCAACCTCTCTGAAGCTGAAATTTCTTCTTATCTTCAAGCCGAGCAGCAAGATCTTGACCTGCAGTCACAACGCAACCAGAAAAGGGGGGTTCATTTAAGTTTTTACTCAAATCCAGAAACACAGCATCGACATCCACCAAAGTATCCGTTCTGCCATTTCTGTAAGAAACCAGGACATACTTACCAAAACGGTCGCAGCCGTTATCAAAATCGTCGCAGCACTTCGCAGCCGTATCACCGATCGCAGCAGTCACCAAAAACACAACCACCACAGCAGCAGTTAACGTCTCAGCAGCAGCAGATGCCGAAACCGCCGCAGAGTTCATCAACGTCGCAGCAGCGCCCGCCGGTCTTCGCATCTGCCACATCAGGAAAAGGAGTTTTTGGCTGTGTTACAACAGTTGATGTTTCCGAAACAGATTTCGAAACCCGACTTGAAGAAACCACAAGTGCTGAAGTCATTCCTTTACCTCAAGTTTACGCTAATCTTGCTCGCATAATTTCAGGACCAAATACCTGGTATCTCGACAGCTGCTGCGGATGGCATATGTGTTCTGCCGAAACAAGCTTCATCACGAATCAGCGTCCGCTTCGTCGTCCCATACCTGTCACAGTCGCCAACGGACAAACAATAATGGCACGATCAGTTGGCAGTGTCTTGCTCGAATCTATCGACACGGGATACTCACTTCATGTTACGAACGTTCTTATCGTCGCTGGTCTTGGTTTCAACCTTCTTTCCACAGCTCAACTCCTGGCGCACAAAATCCGCACACAAGGAAATTGTGAGACGATGGATCAAGAGCTCTGGCACAGTACAACTAATACCTACCTTGGTCGTGCCGCCACTCAACATGGCGTATCAGTACTTCAGTTCGCAGCACAAGGAACTTCTGGCGATTCTGAACGCGTCCTTGCACTTGGTCCCTGGGATCATCCCGAAGAAACAGATTATCAAAACGTGGATATTGACTTTCGAGCAACTTCGGTACCATCAGCTTCTCGAACAGCAGCCGCCGTACTTACCGCGTTGGATACCTGGGAATTCAACACCGCTGATGAAAGTGCCAACGCGTGGCGAACGTTTTATAATACCCGAGCAGCCTTCCAAGGAACTCCAGCACCACTTTGGGGAGAGATAAGTGGTCTTGCAGCTGATGAACCTGGCGTCGTTGAAGCAGCACAACAGGAAGCAGTAGCTGAGCAGCCGAGTCCAACAGAAGCTGCCGCCGAAATACCTGCCACAACATCAACAGAAGCAGTATCATGGGTTATCCTCGCAATTGCAGCAGCACCAACACATGTCACGTTACCTCTTAACCGTTTTGTCGAAGGAGAAATTGACAAGTCACCAGCACTTTCTCCTTTCCTTCTTTCTTCTTTTTATACTAACTCCGATTTCTATCTGCGATCATCAGGACACAAAGCCACAGAAGATATATGGCATCAAAGGTTAGGGCATCCATCACAAGGGATTCTAAATCATTCAATCCGAGCAGCAGTTCTTGATAAAAACAGTTTACTTTTACCTGATGGCACGGAGATGAAGCCGCAGTCTCGTCCGACGGTTTGCACCACCTGTCCAGTTGCCAACCTTACGCACGATCCTTTTCCAAGTCATTTTCCCGGCTCAACCCGTTATCAACTGATGCAGAAAATCTACAGCGACATACTCAACTTGTCTGAAGCAAGACCTAAAGACGAGAATTATGTGATAACCTTCATCGAAGCGTCTACACGCTATGTCTGGACAACTAACTTACCAGCACGCCATCTCGCTCACTCCGTTTTCATCGCGTGGCTCGCTGTCGCTGAACGAGAGTCAGGAGTAAAACTGCAAGAATTTTAGAGCGATGGTGCAGGGGAGTACACCAGCAACACCTTCACAGACTACCTTCAGACACTCGGCATCAAACAGAAGCAGTCGCTGCCACATGCACACCAACAGATGGGGGTAGCAGAAAGGATGAACAGGACTCTGCAGGAGAAGATGCGTGCTCTGCTGACGCAGGCAGCTCTTCCACCGCAATTTTGGCCGTATGCGATGGACCACGCCGTGCTGTTACACAATCTTCTTTCTTCAACGTCCCTGCCCGAGTTCTCTTCTCCACACCTGCAGTGGACACGTACAATGGGGAGCACGAAACTTTTACGAGTTTTTGGGTGTGTTGTACAGTTTCGTCCTCCAACTGCAGCCCTCGGAAAATTTTCTGAACGCGCAAAATGGGGAGTACATCTCGGCATCGAAAAACAGTATCATGCGTGGAAGATTTTGGATCTCCGCTCAAACCAAAATCATCCCGTCACGTGATTGTCTTTTCTACGAAAGACTCACCTTGCCCGTTTTTCGTGCCCACCAGGCAGCCGCTGCCAACCCCGCCAGGCTGTTCGAAGGCTCGCGTGCGTTTGCCACTGACGAGGCTGAAGCTCATATACACGAAGCAGTTTCTGAAGCATCCGAAGCTGCCGCAACTGACATTCCCGAACCTGTAACCTCGACTGGCATACCTGAATTCATTCCTCTTGCAGATGCTGACCCGGATGATGTTCGCGAAGTTCGTCTCAGCTATGAACGTGATCGCCAATAGCAGCCGATGCCCGTCATCTCCGACGAAGCCGTTCGTGTTACACCTGACGAAATTGGGGGGGAAGAAGGACCAGAAGAAAATTTCGCAGGTGCAAACGAAGAACGTCCGCGTTTTACAGAAACAGGATTGCAGATACTTGGATTTGCAGTAGCAGTACAGCGCAACGACAGTAAGATACCTGAACCGAAAACCGTCCGACAAGCTCTTACAAGTCCTCACCGAGAAAAATGGCGCGAAGCCATGGACAAGGAGCTAGCAGCACTCAAGAATCGTGGTACATGGGATTTAATCCCGACTTCAGAAGTCAAAGGGAAGAACGTACTTACCGGAAAGTGGGTCTTCCGCGTCAAGACTAACGCAGATGGGTCGTTTGAAAATTTTAAAGCACGATGGGTCCTCCGCGGATTTGAGCAGACTTACGGCATCGACTACGAACTCACCTTTGCTCCTGTCGGCCGACATACAAGCGTTCGGATTCTACTTTGTGTCGCCGCCTGCCGTATGCTACGTCTTCGTCAAATCGACGTCTCGAATGCGTTTCTCTACGCACCTATCGACGCACTTATCCTGGTAGAGTACCCACATTCTTATACTACTAACCCACCGAGTGTTTGCCGTCTACGGAAGTCCTTGTACGGCATTAAACAGGCACCACGACTCTGGCAGCAGTATCTTCACTCGCAGCTGGTCACTGCCGGTTTTCGTCAACTACCGCATGATCAGGGAATGTATCTACTGACCGACGGCAGCAACTACACTCTACTCGTTGCCTACGTCGACGACATCCTATACGTCAGTACTACCGATTCTCTTGCCGAGACCTTCATACTGAAATTACAGAAAAATTTACAGCTTACCGTCTCCGAAACAGTCTCACAATTTCTTGGACTGAACATTACCTGTTCACCGACAACTATTCATCTCACCGCTTCGAAGTACGCAGCAACTCTCGCTGCCCGCTTCAACCTCACGCCTACTACAGTCTCTATACCGTACCGCTCACTACCGACTGACCACAAACCGAACACCGCACTGTTAACTTCAACTGGTTTACAGATCTATCAACAGCAGCTAGGCTGTCTACTCTTTGCCGCTGTCACTTGTCGTCCTGATCTAGCCTACGCGGCTAGTCAGCTCGCTCAGTTCCTACGCCGTCCTGAGGAGGAGCATCAGCTTGATCTACTTCGTGCACTTCAGTATTTTATCTCGACATCTGACGTCGGATTAGTCTACAACGTCATCGGCTGTAAAACACACTATCTACATGGTTTTGTCGACGCCGATCACGCTGCTGATTCTACTAATCGACGGTCGCGCACTGGGTTCATCTATCGACTGTAACCTATCGGACCTATCTCTTGGAATTCTACGAAGCAGGAGCTAATTGCACTCTCCTCTGCTGAAGCCGAGTTTATTGCTGTCTGCACAGCAACACGCGAAGGACTTCACTTACAGGAACTACTGGAAGAAGCGAAGTTGACGACAACTATCCAGTTTACCCTACAGTGCGACAATCAAAGTGCAATTCGCATCGCACATCAACCTGGTTTCGTCAACAGGACAAAGCATATTTCGCTTCGTTATTTCTTCGTCAAAGATGAAGTCGAGAAGGGGAGGATGCGATTGGTCTACTGTTCGACCAACGAAATGGCTGCCGATTTTCTCACGAAGAAGCTGACACGACAGAAGTTTCAGTACTGTAACAAGCTCTGTGGAATCTTCAAGAAGTGACACTATCGATGTTCCAGAAATGAAGGGGAGTGTTGTGATATAATTGGTACTTAGCATTTCTGTAAGTCGATTAAGTGTAGTTAGTGTCGAATCTTACTGTAGAACATAAGTCCGTAGGATGACGTCAGCAAATAGCGCTCGTCATAGGACAGTCGTTTCAGTCACACGAACAGTCGCACCTCTTCAATATCATCTAGGGCGCATAGCGCGATAGTGACGAACAGGTACATTAGCGAATAGGTACTTTTCGTAGAACTATAAATCTCTGTCAGGTCTTTTCGTTATTAACTTTGATTACCCACAAGTTCACATACTCAGGTTATTCAACCTTGACTATTACATTTTACAAGACTTCCGCTGTCTTACTAGTCTACCATTCCAGCAAAGATCCTGGACCAACACTTGAGGATTTGCCAAGTGTTCGTGTTTATAGTTTTATACTTAGTCTACTACAACACCAAACGATTTACTTCACTATCAAGCCTACAATGATATAAAATATAATTTGAACACTTCGTAACACTGTAGGCATCGTATGCATTTGCCAAAAGCATTCAGGTCGGTACAGTAGTGCTAGTACAAGGTATGCATCAAGTGAGCAATACCATAGCAGCAGCAGAATCTGAAGGGGGAGGAA